CTATCTACCACCTACTAGCAATTTCCCAAGTCATTTTAAAAGATGTCTGACCATACCAAGATTTCCTGGCTTCAAGAGTAGTCTATATCACTTGTTGCAGTTATCATATTGTATCCCATCATATGGTACCTAAGACAAGCTCTTCTGGGGTTAGACCTTCTGGCGATTACAGAGCTATTAACAGCAGGACTATACCAGATAGATATCCGCTTCCACACTTATATGACTTTACTCACAGTCTATCTGATGCAACGATTTTTTCAAAGGTTGACCTCGTCCGTGCCTATCATCACATCCCAATTCACCTGGATGATGTTCCTAAAACAGCCATCACTACCCCACTTGGGTTATACGAATTTGTTCTCATGCCTTTTGGATTAAAGAATGCTGCACAAAGTTTCCAAAGTTTTATTGATCAAGTCGTACGTGGCTTACCGTTTGTATACGCCTACATAGATGACTTACTTATCGCCAGCAAAGACGAAAACGAACATCTAACTGATCTAAAATTGCTTCTTGAGAAGCTAAACGAGTATGGATTAACAGTCAATCTCGACAGGTGTGAGTTTGGAAAGCAATCCCTCACCTTTTTAGGCCACTTACTCTACAATCAAGGTACTAGACCGGTTCCTGAGGAAACACAACTCATTAAAAATTATCCCTTACATGACTCCTTCAAGAAACTACGACGTTTCCTTGGGATGACCAACTGTTACGGACGTTTAATTCCGAAATGCGCTGACATAGCGAAACCCCTAACGGATTTATTAAGGGGACGCGCTAAATTAATTATGATGACACCGCAAGCAATTCAAGCTTTCGAACAGTTGAAAAACGCATTAAGCACTGAGGCATTGCTGGTCCCACGGAAGGTTAACGCACCTTTAGCAGTAATGACCGACGCCTCTAATGTAGCGATGGGTGCTGTACTTCAACAACGCGTCAATCAACAATGGCAACCCCTAGCATTTTTCACAAAAAATCTAAGTTCGACGCAAACAAAATATAGCACGTTCGGTAGAGAACTGTTGGCCGTCTATTTAACAATCAAACACTTCCGGTATATGTTAGAAGGCAATTCTTTTACAACATTTACTGATCACAAGCCTCTAACTAAATCCTTGATGCAAAACCACGATAGATACAGTCCACGCGAAATTCGTCAACTAGAATTCATTCCGCAATTTGCAGCTGACATACGCCATATAAAAGGCATGGAAAACGATGCTGCAGATGCGCTATCTAGATTAAACATTAATACTTTCTAAATCCATGATATAAATTGTCAAGTAAATACAGTAGAAAAAGCTGGTAAACATGCTACTGTTAGCATCGACAGAATAAAACCAGCGTTTTCAGAGCACATCAAGAAGCAGACAACGAAACCATCCAAATCCGCATCAAAGCAAGCACTACACAAACTACCTGTAACAATCAATACTCTATACGGAAGTTCAACGGCTACAGAAACTACTACAAGACAAGGTAGGAGAGTACACTTTCCGGATAGGTACGTAGCAACAACCATACTTATCTAGCCCAAATGCTACAAATTGTTCTCTATTTTTACTAACTGTTCTTTATTGGCCCCACGGATTTGCATTATACTTACTTTTAACTTCATGCTATCCTTATACACATACATAAAACGTTTCAATACATACAAACTATTATTACAACTTAACGCTTACTCATCACATTGGATTGTACATTAATTTTATAACTTTTTTCATCACATTGTTGAACATAGATGTTAATAAAAAAATATTTTTTATAAAAAAACATGTACGTTCTGGATGGGAGCTTATGTAGCAAGCCAATTCAACTACTGTATTTTTGTGTGCTCTCTGTAATCCTAACATTTAATCCACTTTGTAAATTCACGTGTGAGTCTGATTGAGCGCATGTGTCTGCACATCAATCCTTAATCTGTTCTCTCATTGGTTGCAAACAAAGACAATCAATAATTTATCCACAACCATTAACACTCAAATATATATGAATTTTTAACACTCACACACACTTACTTGTTTTCCCGCTGTGCTTGCTACCTGTACGCTTGTGGATTTTTACCGAGCTTCAACAATAAACTATCTCTGTAACTGGTGTTCAAGCTTTTGAACAATCTCGAGTAAACCCGTAATTCTATTAGGAGATTTAGCCTGCAGTAAATAATCAGTTAGCGGGATATTATTTATTTATCGGAGTCAGATATAGAGGAATTAATCCTCTACAGGTGCACTAAAGAACAGAATACCTGTGTTTCACTTTGCAAAACTCTGTGGCCCTGTGTTTGACCTAATTTAAGTTTCACTGCTCTATATAAGCAGATTCCCTAGTTGTCTGTACCACCTACTTTATCAACTTTTCTCAGAACATGTCAAGAAGTTATTATACCACTGTAAGCTTATCCTCGTTACGTTCGTAATATACGGTGTTCCTTCGAACAATTAACAAAGAGTGCTCTGTTTATTACGCGGCAGTTATCACTGATGAAACATCCTACTGGCACACAGAACACAAATTAGCCAGAAAAGGCTAAAAGTTGGCAGTTTAGCTAGGAGGTTCCTTTGGTTATAAATGCAGATGAAACCGGTTTCGCTGTTACAGATGTACAAAACTCCGCTGACTGCTGAAGCTGCATTCCTGCACTGTTATATCATTAGATTTACTCGATGTTCACTACTTCTAAAACATAACGGGCTAAATTCCTTCGTTCAAACCTTGAAAAGTAATGGTATTCTAAGCCATCGACCAAGTGACTGCCTACGCATTTTTATACAAATTTCCAGACGTCAGTTGTAATTGAAATACGAATATTTCACAGATGAGAAACCAAGTGGTGTCAAGTCTAAGCTTAGGCATTATTTAAATGGGAATTTGTTGATCGCAACTCCGAACCCACCGAAATATTATTCCTCGCCACAATTGTTGAAACGGATTCATTCCCAACCTTTCGTTTTGAGGTTCTCCGAAGTTGAGGATCAACGAGACTGTTGGGCTGTCTACATACCACACGTTTTATATAAGAATAGATGATTTTATTAGGTTGCTTACCAAGCAAGCTAGAAGCATAGAGCTCTAAATTCTTTTTCTAAACCCACAAATATTTTAATATTCAGAATAAGACAATAGAGAGCATAACGATCTCATTAAATAAGGGAGTGAAAACATACTTCAGACATGATGTTTCAGTTCTTGCAAAAGGTTTTCGGCTAATTCTTAATCACTCAGCTTAGGCTGTTTCATCAGCCTCAGCGAAAAATGGACTGTCATAGGAACGTTGGTTTGATAAAAAAGTAAGGAAGAGTCTACCTTTAAAAAAACAAATGAAATATATTAGTCAACATTGGACAATCGCCCAATTGTTCTTATGAAACAAACTCGAAGCGGAAATGCACGGTTACTAGTAATAAATGTTCGGTTCTACATAAATTTGTAGAGGTAATACATCATTGATCCCTAACAAAACACTCAGCAGGAAAAGTAACAGATGTCAAACAGCTAATCGTACCTCTTCAATGTCAATGACCACTAACGCGAGATAAATAATAGCGGGTCATGGTAGAAGGATTGTGGCAGTAGATCTTCTTTTTACTGTTGCTAACTGTGAATAATGTGTGTTGTTGAATATTGAGACCATTTATTCTAGCCAGTCACCTGATTAACACGACAGAATAATCCTGGTTAGGTATCAATCGCAAGGTGAGACTTAAGAGTAGGAAAGGAAGTTAAACCGTCCCAGTCTAACTGAAGTAGGTCTACAATAACTGACACCTACGTTTGGTCTAACAGAACTTAATGGTAATCTGGAAGTAATGTACACGAAGATTAAAGGGCAAGTATTAAACCAAAATATCAGGGTCAACGTTTTAAATGAGCCATGTTAAAAAGCAAACATATCAACTACCAATTAGTGGGGATGATATTTATATCAATGGTTTATGACGAGTTAAATATCGCCGAAATCTCATGAAACATTTGTTATACATCTGAGATCAATAATTCGTGCCGCGAATGTCTGGAAACGACCTGGTAGGTGTAACATTTTACACCGGTTGAATAAACCTATAGTTGGTGATTGCTTAAAAACATACAAAACTTATCCTTTAGGGATCATACCACTCAGCCGGAGTCGATTACGGCAGAAGCTGCAGCTCCGGGAGGAAGTAAAGAATGGACAGTCATTGTTTGCTCCCGCTAGGAATGATGGATTCAAAAGATTCTCTCATGTATACCTAGCAGAAGCTCTTGGTGACGATTTAAAAATCCTTTTGTTGTTGTACATACCTCACATTAGTCTAAACAAGGAAGGAATTGAATTTATTTTTGAAAGGCGAGGTATGCCACAAGATGCTGGACATTTTGTTGAGCTAACTGTGATATAACATGGTAAATGCTTGCTGAAGTTAATGAAAAGTTATTGGTTTAAGAAAATTATAACCACCTGGACATGCTGTACTAAAATCAACCACAGTAGTTTAACGAAAGTCACTGTATAAATACAAACAGAGCGAGTGAATTTGGACACAACGGCGAGATGTTACGATAGATAATTTATCAATGATTGAAGTATATATGTTAATAAATTCCGACCCATTCCTGCAATCAAACTCCCAAGACTGCTACCAGTGCTGTATGATTAATATATAAGTGGGTATTAGTGCAATTATCTCTTCTACCCCAACAATAATCGCAATCTAAAGTTGTGAACTACATAACAACCTGTTCTATCAAACTTCACGTACAAACCTCATCACTGTTCATACTAACGCATAATATCGTGACAGTCAGCGGTCGCAACTACAGAAACCTGAAGAAAAAAATAAGAACATGAGACAAATATGTTTACATGTATCTTAGGAATTTTCTGTATAGGGTTCAATTTGACCTCTTGTTTGGTTCGGTAGTTGGGTTCTAGCGCCTGGACTGACCTTACAAAAATCAGTTGTTTCTATGCGTTTTTTCTCTGTAAGCTATTTGTTGGATTCCTGGCTTTTAGTTAATACCTTTTTGCTTGTTGAAAGTCGCATGATGTAATAAATTGTTTTTGAAGTTTGAATCACTTGACAGGCTGTATTGATGTGTAATAAGTACCTTCTAACATTCCTTTCCCTTAGGTGGGGTCTTAATTTTTTTTACAATTGTCTTTCCTAGTGATTATCATTTACTTATGCAAACTCTTATCAAATGGGCAAGTGGTTGATTTAAGCTTTTCAAATCATAAATATATATAAAACGGGCACCGCAGAGAAAAACGGCTACACGACACTAGAGTTTGTTGACTTCAAATTTTCCGCTTTGTCACGATTATATATATATACGTGCAAATGAGTGTTTGCTTTATGTTCTGCGCTGTTTATGCCTAACAATAAATGTTGATCTCCTTGTCGAACAACTTGCCATAATTAAAATTTCGTCTTCCTACCTTTCGGTAAAAAAACAAAACATCCCGAGTAACTGTAATCTTGTCACCACTTAGTATCAAGTTAGTTTCATTACTGTATAACTTATATGACACCTGTTTATTTTACCTGCATATTTGACCAAGACTATGTCGAATTAGTGGTCGCGAACAGTAATAATCGTCTTAAAACCTTGTTTTGTCACAGATTTGTCTTCGAAAGCTTTACAATGCCGCACAATTGAACCCTTTTGGAAGAATAAATGGTTCTTAAGCCGTGTTACAAATAAATTCGGAAATTTCATCTTAATACTTATCTGGAATTATTAATAGAATGAGATGTCCTATGGAGTCCATATTTCTTCTAAAATAAGGGCGAAAGTACCAAGTTTCAGTATTTCTAAGCCTTTAAAAACGTTCTATCCAAATTTGTAGATTCTCTTTTTTATGATGCGTCATTAATTTGTTCGCAATTTTCTTCCTAGTTAGCGTCCTAAAATTCCACTATCCGTAGGGCTGATTATCTCATTACTTACACAATGCAATTATTTCCGGTACCAGTACATAATGTAAGTCAATAAATATGTGATGTACTTGTTTATTGTACAACCTTACGATGTTTGTCACTGTTTCTAACACCGCGACCACCTGCACCAAACCAACGATGAACTCAGATAGACTATATTGCCATCAGTCATCGTTGGAGAGGCTCAATAAAAAACTGTTGCTCGTTCTGAAATACCTGTTTGGACTTCGGTCACACTCTAATACGAGCACGCATGTGCTCGCGCCTCTCTAGACGTAGGAAAACTACGTTAAGCCCCGTTAGGTTTGAACTCAGCGATGAGAAAGCCAGAAGTAAATTCCATGAACAACTGAAGTCACACTTGAGCAATTTTAAAAACGATGTTGACCCAGATGTTGATTGAAAATATAGACAGACAGCTATGAAAACAGCAGCGACATCTACTAGTGATTTGAATCAAAGGGTTACGAAGAACGAACACAAATCAGATCTAGGTTAAGCAAAAGTCTGAGGGACAACTGTGAGCAGTGGTGGGCAACGAAAGCAAAAGAAATGGGAAATGCAGTAACTGCAGGTAACACAAGACAGCTTTTTAGAATGATTAAAATGACTGGAATTACGAAACTAAGTGTGAGACAATCTCAAAAAAAGACGACACTCTTATCTGCTCTTAGTCCAGACGTTTAGAACGATTAGAAGAACACTAGGAAACAGTTCAGCTAGTCTTTCAGCTACTCTGCAGCTACCCACCATTTCCAAACTGCCTGAATGGAACATTAAAATAGGCCTTCCGACTTTAATTAAATTTCAAAAAGCTATAGCCAATCTGCAATGAGAGAGAGCAGCTGGACCAGATGGATTGTCTCCAGCGATCTTTAAATATGCTGGTCCAATTTTAACGATTAGATTGACTAATATTTTGGCTAAAATCTGGGAATTTGACTTAATCCCATCTGACTGGTAGCAATCACTGATCGTCCCAATATATAAGAAAGGATCAAAATCATCCTATGATGACCATAGAGGGGTTAGTTGAACTAATATCGCATCTAAAATACTAGCCCCAATAATTATAATTATTAAGATTCATGAACTGCAAACACGAGAAAACCAAGCTAGCTTCAGACCTGGTCGTGGCTGCATCGACCACATATTCACGATTCGTCAGGTTCTATAACACAGACATGCGTATCAGCGTCCAACAATGGTGGTCTTTCTTGACTTAAAAGCAGTATATGACTCTGTAGACCGAGAGGTTCTGTGGCAGTGTCTGTCATTGAAATGTGTACCTCAGAAGTACATAAACCTTGCGAAGGCTCTTTACTCAAACACTACCAGTCAAGTCAGAGCTTATGACGAACTGTCATCTGATTTCGCAACATAGGGTGGTGTACGATATGGTTGTCCACTATCTCCATTTCTGTTTAATTTCATCATAGACCTACTCCTGGAAATAACGTTCTCATCGACTAAACTTTCGTGAACTGATCTGCTACCAGGAGGTCCACTTATCGACTTAAAATACACAGATGACATAGTCCTGTTTGGTGAAGACGCCGATAAAGTTCAGTCTTTTGGTAGCACTGAGCAACAATACCAGGGTGTTTGTACTGTGTATCTCCCCCCTCTAAATGCAAGTTGTTGCTTCAGGACTGGCCTGCGTCAACACCTGAACTAAGGATACGGAATGAAGTAGTCGAATGTGTTGACAACTTCATTTATCTTGGAAGTCTGATCGGTACTAATGGGTTGGTGTCTGAGGAAACCTTTGCACAGATTCAGAAAGCTCATTTGGCTTTTGCCAACTTACTTCACCTATGGCGAAGGCGCAATATCCGTCTATCAACTAAGGGGCCAGTGTAATGTGCAGCAGTTTGCTCTGTTCTACTTTACGGCTACGAAACGTGGCCATTAAGATTAGATACTCGTAAGTTGCTAGTATTTGACTACAGATGCCTTGTAAATAGGATCCAGATATAAAACAAAATTTCATCCATATTATCATTTATTAAGTGGTATCTAATCCTTGATACCCATTTCCTTGTACTCATCAATGAGTTAACATATCTTCATTAACTGAAATTGTTGCGACATGTATTACATATACTTAGCCCATCATCTACCTTATATATTGCTCGCATCTTCTGGGATCAACGGGTAAGTAATAGTGAGGTTAGACACAGGGTATTAGAGAATGATGGTAAATCAGTTGATAAGATTGTGAATGTTCATCGACTGAGATGGTTGGGCCACATTTTACACATGCCCGACCACCGACTACCACGATGCGCAATTCTGATTAGTGTTGGAGATGGTTGAAGGGAAGCTAGGGGCGGCCAAACCAAATGCCCTGGTACGGCTGAGAGTGGGGAGAGTCCACTCTCCCTCTCGAAATGCTCTCACATGGCCACGCGAATATATAGCCTCTGCCACACAAGTCCTACTCACTGCCTTCTCGTGGCATGACTGTTGTTTGCGAAATTGAGAGGACGAAAAGCGAATGTCCGGCACTTCAACCGGGTTGGTGGACATGGAGGGTCCACCTAGGGGAGTTGGAAAACCCTGATTCCAAACTAATGGTGCACATGGGCTCCAGTATCTTGATAGAACGAATGGCGAATGAACCTGCTGTTGGTCACCGCCTATCGTGGGACTGCATCTCCTCACGATGCGCTACTGCCTTGTGGACCAGACCTTTCGGTCAAAGGCTCGGGGCGTGGCCCCCTAAGAAAACCACCTGCTTCGGTTTGGGCACCCGGGCAGTATCACAGCCCACACACAAATAAATGAAATGATGAATTCTATTGACGATACTGTTCTCACTCATATTAGAAGCAAGACAATTTACAATATTACTATTATTATTATTATTACCATTATTATTATTATTACTATTATTTACTACGTCGCTTTTTCACTCCCTTTATTCCCAAATTGTGTATCCTTCCTTTCCAACTTATGCAGTAGCTCGCCCATGGTGGAAAATCTGTCCTATCTAAACGATCTCCAGTCACTGTCTGGTTGAAAGTGAACGCTTCCACCGATTACGAATACTGAAGCAGTCTTTCTGAAACCACGTACGCCGTTCAAGCTGACTTCCTTCAACGTTCGCACACTAATGCAGACAGGACAACAGATGGGGCTGGCTATGTCTTTAGAAAGTCTTAATGTTGATGTTTGCTGTCTATCCGAGACCCGTATTCAAGACTTTAGTGAAGTTCTACAAATTCGTTCTCCATCTGTCGCTTCGAAAAGCTTGTTTCACGTGCGCTTATCCGGGGACTCTGTGGCATCTTCGTCTGGTCTTGCAGGGGTTGGTGTTGCACTAAGCGCTAGAGCTGAGGCAGCACTAATCGATTGGATCCCCATTAACAGTCGGTTATGTGCTGTTAGATTAGAAAGTTCCATCAAAGTGAGAAGAAACCGGCGTGAGAAACGGTGTCTTTTCGTCATCTCCGCCTATGCCCTGACAGATTGCAGCTCGGATGCAATCAAAGATAAGTTTTACCACCAGTTAACAGTTCTTCTCCAGAAAGCGCGTTCGACAGATATTGTAGTATTAGCCGGAGACTTGAATGCTCAGGTCGGGCGTCTAGGCACAGAAGAGAGTCGTTTAGGTGGCCGATGGGGACTTGTTGGCCGCAGGACAGATAACGGGGACCGTTTGCTGCAACTGTGCACAGACCACAACCTGTTTCTGGCTAGCACTAACTTCCGGCACAGTCATCGCCGGTGTGCCAGCTGGCGTCCTCCCTCTGCATCTCAAGCCTGGACTCCGATTGACCACATCGCGATCAGCTACCGCTGGCGTGGTTGTGTACAAGACTGCCGCTCCTTTTGGAATACCTATCTGGAGTGTGATCATGCCCCGGTCTGACCATGAAAATGGCGAGTAAAGCCGCTTGCGGCTTCGCGAAACGTCCCGCTCACAAGCACTGGGTTTCTTCTGACTCCTTACAACTGATGGAAACCCGTTGGTCTACTCCGGGTGACCGTGAGTTTGACCACAAACGAAGGCCGTTACGTAATGAAATCGGGCAAAGCTTGCGTAAGGACCAAGAAGCCTGGTGGTCGGAGCGTGCTAATGAGATGGAAGCAGCAGCTGCATCTGGTAACTGCCGGAAGCTCTTCCAACTCATCCGAGCCACTGGAAGCAAGAAGTCTGGTGTGAGTGAAACAATCTATGAGGATGACGGGATGCCAATCACTAACATCTGTCGACGTCTTGGACGATGGGCGGAATTTTTCGAAGGGCAGTTCAACTGGCCTGCTGCTCCGGCAATATCAACCAGTTTGTCCTGCCCCCCGTGGCCGATGATGACTGATCCACCAAACGAGGCGGAAGTCCGCAAGGAACTCCAACTCTTGAAACGTTATAAATCACCTGGCCCAGATGACTTACCTCCAGCTCTTTTTAAAGATGGTGGTGACTTTCTGGCTAAGGAAATGACGGTGTTGTTTGCATAGATTTGGGAGCTAGAAAGTGTTGCACCATCATGGAATGAGTCAATAGTCGTCCCTATCTTTAAAAAGGGTTCACGTAGTTCATGTAACAACTATCGGGGGATAAGTCTACTTCCGATTGCGTCCAAACTATTGGCTTCTGTCATTCTTCGTAGGTTGTTTAAAACCCGAGAACGATTGACTCGCGAGGAGCAGGCTGGTTTTCGTTCTGGTCGAGGATGCATTGATCACATCTTCACCCTCCGCCAAATGTTAGAACACCGTCATACTTATCGCAGGCCAACAATCGTAGTGTTTCTTGATATCAGGGCTGCCTTCGATTCGTTGGACAGGACTGTTCTCTGGGATTGTCTTTTGAAGAAGGGTGTGCCTGAGAAGTTCATTAACATCTTAAAGGCCCTGTATAGGAACACCTCAGGCAGAGTGAGGGCATACAACCACCTTTCTCCCTTGTTCCATTCGAGCAGTGGGGTTAGGCAGGGTTGCCCGATCTCACTATTCCTCTTCAACTTTGCCATCGACGACATCCTGGAAACAGCTCTGATGGATGTAAGTAATGGCGGTGTGGATATGTTGCCTGGAGAACAACTTCTCGACCTCGAGTATGCGGATGATATTGTCTTACTGTGCGATAATGCCCAAGGCATGCAATCCGCACTTAATCAGTTGGCAATCAGTGTCCGCAGGTACGCCATGTGCTTTGCACCCTCCAAGTGCAAAGTACTCCTACAAGACTGGCAGGATTCTCATCCTGTACTCACCCTGGATGGTGAGCAGATTGAAGTAGTTGAGAAGTTCGTGCATCTAAGTAGCTACATAAGTGCTGGTGGTGGCGTGAGTGATGAGGTTGATGCACGTATAAGTAAAGCCAGAGCGGTTTATGCCAATCTGGGCCATCTTTGGCGCCTTCGTGATGTTAGTCTAGCTGTAAAAGGTCGGAACTACAACGCATCGGTGAGAGCAGTTTTGCTCTATGCTTGTGAAACCTGGCCTCTCCGAGTTGAGGATGTTAGACGTCTCTCTGTGTTCGATCATCGTTGTCTCCGAAGGATTGCTGACATACAGTGGCAACACCATGTTAGTAATGCAGAGGTTCAGCATTGTGTGTTCGGGCGCAGAGACGATAATTCAATTGTTGTCGCCATCTTGAAACACCGACTTCGGTGGCTTGGACATGTTCTACGAATGTCGTCCCAGAGACTTCCACGTCGTGCATTATTTGCCGACTCTGGGACTGGTTGGAAAAAGCGGAGAGGAGGTCAGTGTATGACATGGTGTCGTGGCATGAAAGAGAGCTGCAAAGGGCTAGCTTCTGTTGGTCCTTCACGACTCCCTGGTTGGGGTCCGAGAGATGGTGCAACACAGTGGCTAGAGACGTTATCAGATATGGCTCAGGATAGAAGCCAGTGGCGATCCTGCTGCAACCTTCTTTTACTTTCTACATAAAGAGTGGTTCTAACTTTCTTAACTGAAAGAGTCTTCTGGTTGTACATTTCAGTCCGCCTTTATCTTTTCATCCCTTCTCTTGCTACTTTCATTATTTTGTGTGGCGCATATGTATCTTTATTTATTTATTTATTTAAACACATAAATATTGGTACAAGGAAACACCAGATACATATGCGCCATACAAATCTCATCCGATTTGCTTGAGGGCTGTGATACTGCCCAGGTGCCCGAACTGAAGCAGGTGGTTTTCTTAGGGGCCCACACCCGGAGCCTTTGACCGAAAGGTCTGATCCACAAGGCAGTGGAGCATCGTGAGGAGATGCAGTCCCATGGTAGCCGTTGACCAGCAGCAGGTTCATTCGCCATTCGTTCCATCAGGATACTGGAACCCATGTGCACCATTGGTTTGGAATCAGGGTTTTCCAACTCCCCTAGGTGGACCCTCCATGTCCACCAACCCGGTTAAAGCGCCTTACATTCTATTTTCGTCCTCTCACTTTCGTAAACAACACCCCCACCACGAGAAGGCAGTGAGTAGGACTTGTGTGGCAGAGGCTATATATTCGCGTGGCCATGTGAGAGCATTTCGAGAGGGAGAGTGGGCTCTCCCCACTCTCGGCCATACCAGGGCATTTGGGGGCCATATGTATCTGGTGCCGTTTTGTACCAATATATATGTGTTTAAATAAATAAATAATAAATAAACCAAAACATGGCATCAGTGCTTGAAGTCACCAACTTCTAGTCTGAGCCATGTTGGTAGATGGAGACTACTTGGTTGGAGTCCGTGTGACTATCGTAACCAGTGGTTGAAAACTGTGATATGGCTCAGAATCTATCACGATAGCGTGTATACACTCCTTGTCTTTCCTTAAACCATGAAATTAAGACTACGTTATACTTTTCTTTCTACCAACTAATCCTCCTTCCTGTACTATATCATTATACGCAATCTTTCTTTAAATATTATTATAATTGAAGTGACTACTTCTCTGAATCTGGTGATCACCTTGTGCTAGTGTGGTGTGGCAACTTGGACCGACGTATATATATGCCTGGTCCCATGTTGTAACTAACTGACTGACATTTGTAACATTTCGGCTGCAGTTGTATGTTATAATTTAGTGGTTCATTTAGACCCAAATAGTTTGATGTCGGAATGCTTTGCAAATTAAGGTTTTCCATTCTAGTACACTTCAAAACAATCTCGTCACAATTCGTTTATCAGTAGTACCGTGAGTCGTTTCTCAAGTATACTTGTGCTCAGTAACCTGGCTATATTGACAGAAAATTCAAGTTAAGCAAGATTGTATCTCAGGGATTTAGTCATTAGAACTTCAATCACTGAATCATAAGCAACTGCTCAAATTACTTCGTGGTTTTGAATGGATTGGTCACGCATTATACTAATCACTTAAACGAGCAGTATATGTTAGCAATCCTATATATTGACTTTAGATCTTTTATTCTTCCCGAAGTTGTGCTATGGAATCATCTTTTAAAGTGATAAACTCAAGTTGACTGAGTTCGTCCCTTGTACACCAATAACTCATTGTTGTAATACGTTTTTTGTTGTTGGAAACTTGTTATTAGTCTGTTGAAGAGTTCTTTTATTTGAACCATGCTGGTAAACTTTTGGACGCAGTCGGAGATGTACAATACTACCGAGTTATCTTAAAAGATTTTCTGTCGCAACTACATACCTCACTACATTCTTGGTAATATTTTAAATTAACCACTAGTGGAGCAGTGGTGTGGTGATTAAGGCGTTTGACTCATCCACTAAGTCCCATGTTCGGATCCTGCCAGATCTATTTCGGATTGGCAACCGAGTGGTATCATTATGCATTTAGCTTAGTGTAGCTCGTATGCAGGTACCTGGAAAATGAGTTGGTTTTTTAAAAATTTAATCACTGAATAAGTGAAAAAAAATTTCCTTTCATTTTTAGATAATTACTCTTCATTATATGTGATTGAGTGTGTCTAGCTCTGTCACTCATTTATCATCTTACCAATGCTAGTAATTTCAAAATGGAAGACATCTCTTTGTCACTAAAAAGTGATACTGTTCATTCATGTACTATGGAGAAATCAGATAATCCATCGGCAAAATGTCCTGATATTTTGCCCAGTCAGGGTTCTAAAATAAATTCATCTACAAGTCAAAACAATAATAATAACGATACTTGTCGGATTGATAATGTAACAACTGAACAACGGCCAGTTGAAACAATCACTGAAGATTTGGAACCTGCCTTACGACGCAGTAAACGTGGTAAAGGCAGACCTAGCAACACTAATAATGCAAACAATAATAATAATGATGGAACTTCAGATGATCATGTCCCTTCATGCATTATTTCCGGTACTGAATATCACACAGGTTTGTTTTTTGTCTAGGTCCCTATTTCCTGTAATGTTATTTTAAGTATGTTATATAGTTCTTAAATGTATTACCTTTTTAATTTTTGGCACATGGCTTTTTTGTTCGTTTTCTATCAGTTGCTAAAATTGTTTTTAATAGTTATATCTAACAAATTACTTCTATTGTGAATGGTTTGTATGTTAAAGTTTCATTGGACATATGAATAATATAGTTAGCACGTACTCCAAAAAGAAGCTTCTTAATCAAACTATCTAGTTCAAAGATCACAATCCCAGTATAACTTAAAATTGTTTCGAATTCACATAATTGCCACTATTTTGACTGTATAAAAACACTAATAGAGATTACAGTTGTAAGGACGAAAGGAACCGAACATATTCCATCCAATCAGCTTTTGGAAGAATATTCCAGAATCACTACGTGTAGCTAATAACCCCCTGTGTGCGGATTGGATAACTATAATGTTGATTTTGTTTTTGCTAAAAACTATAAATACCTGACAGTTTTGTACCATAACTGACACTGTTTGGAATAACATTTCTTTCAGTTAGTCTCGTGTGCTGTTACGGGTATGAGGGCTAATATCACTTCCCGGCTGCACATACCGTGGAAGAGTATTTCTTGAGGAACCTGCAAAGGAAGTTGGATTAATGTTGGTCTTAACGACTTGGGAGCGTGAACGCAGAGTCCAAGGGACAACTGCTTGAGGCCTGTCACGCATGGCCTTTTTGTGGGGTATTTTTGAAGTGTTAACTCCGTTCTTCAAAAGGCCTTACCGGAGACGGAAATCCATAAGGTAAGGTGAGGCGTGACATTTTCAGGGTTGACATTTTCTAACCCCTTCCTTCCTTGTGACAAGGCAGCATCGCTGTCATGCTGGTTATCTGAGGGAAACACCTTACTGCTGTCACACCCCTCTACAGTCAGCAGTACGACCTCTCCCTCAGACCTTGAATTGCTGCTTTTAGTTTTACCGAACTCCAATCGACCTTCCTGGTATAGTAAAACCTACAGGAACACACGTTCCAGCCAATATAGCTCGGTTAGGTCATCACGATAGGCAAGCCCAACCACCACGTCAAGGTAGCAGTTACAGTCGGGAACATTCCTTCCATTTGTCTTCTGTCTTCTCATTTTGCGACTAGGGAAGGTTCTAGCGTTCGAGTGCTCAAGTTATACGCTGCATACCAAAAGTCTAAGTTGGAGATATAACAACAGATTAAAAATTTTAATAGTGATTGCTTAAAATTGAAATTTCATTTACATCATCTTATTTTATCTCTATGATAATTATTTATGTTTGTATTATCCAAAAGAATTTGTAATTTTTCATAATATTCCAATTATTCATTCAATATTAATTCAGTATAATCTTAATACTGAATATCAATACAATGCGGTCACTAGGCTGACTTAGAGCATAGAACGTGTGAATATAATAATAATTATTATTATTTGGGGGGGGGGGTTAGGATCACATATCATATCTTTATGAATGCATTAAACTACTATTACATAACATTTTACTTTACAATTTTTTATACCGACTACTAATTGATAAAAAATTTCTTAAAATAATTCATCAAGAAATAATGTTTTTTCGATTGTAAATAGGATCCAGATATAAAACAAAATTCCATCATCTATTAAGTGGTATCAAATATTTGATACTAGTTTTTTTTTCTTTTGTACTCATCAGTGAGTTAACATATCTTCATGTAATACATATACTTAACTCATCACCTACCTTTTATATTGCTCGCATCTTCTTGGATCACCAGGTAAGTAATAGTGAGGTTAGACACAGGGTATTAGAGAATGATGGTAAGTCGGTTGATAAGATTGTGAATGTTCATCGACTGAGATGGTTGGACCACGTTTTACTTATGCCCGACCACCGACTACCACGATGCGCAATTCTGATTAGTGTTGGAGATGGTTGAAGGGAAGTTAGGGGCGGCCAAACCAAAACGTGGCATCAGTGCTTGAAGTCACCAACTTCTAGTCTGAGCCATGTTGGTAGATGGAGACTACTCGGTTGAAGTCCGTGTGACTATCGTAACCAATGGTGTATGTGTTATATCTTGTGGCCGAGTGAATGCCCTAGTTAATGTGTGATGTGATAAGACCGCCAATCAGAGAGCAGTGAATTATCGATTGGAACAGTGACACACGAAAATCGTACAAACCGTCTATAGTGCTACCGGTCCTGCTTCTGCCTAGCCCAGCCAGTTAATTCCAGAACAGCCTATGTGGTATGAATCATTGTATTTCAAACATACTGAGTTTATATACCAAACAAACTAACCATATCGTACCATAAAGTAGAAAATAACATTTGTACAAAATTTAGCCAAATGTAGCTGTGAATGTATGAGGCAGCAATTATTAGACTAGGGATAACTCAAGAATGGTAAATCGTACAATAATAGTCTATAGCTCAAAATAAAGCTTATAATAAGGGGAACATGAGTATGAATAGTTTAGTTATTTAGCAATTATACGATAAAAATTATATACATAATACTGGTCCATAAATGGATACCAAAGTTACCATTCACTATTGTTATCGGGACACAACAGTATACACTCTTTATCTTTCTTTAAACTATGAGATTAAAGTTGCTTCCTATCTGTCTTTCTTCCTATACTATATCCTTATATACAACCTATCTTTTATATATTACCACCATTAAATTACCTATTTCTATGAATTCGGTATTCTTGTTGCGCTAATGAGTTAGGTATAGCAACTTGAACCGATGCATAAATGTGCCTGGTCCTACGTTGTAGCTGACTGACTGGTTAGCGTTTTTTTAGCGAGTTAGTTTTTCTACGGGATGGGGTCACTAACCCCATGCCCAACCCTCCTCCTTTACCCGGGCTTGAGACCGGCAATAACTTTAGAAGAGCTACAGGCGGAGTTGGATGGAGAATGCTGGTGTGCGGCCTATGCTCCTCCTCGAGGGCTAACAGGCACTGATGATGATGAGTTCAATATACATTTTGTTGTGCTAATTAGTGAGGTATTGCTACTCCGGACCGATGCATATAAGTGCCTGGGTCTACATTGTAACTGACTGGCATAAAATAATATTATCAGAAAGAGTTTTTGTGGAGATTTAGTACTCTGGCGCGATACTGGTAGGTCCTGAGTTCGAATCTCGCGAGGCGTAATCGTGGATGCGCACTGCTGAGGAGTCTCACAATGGGACGAAACGGTCATCCAGTGCTTCCAGATTCTCCCTGGTTGTCTAGCTTTAATTGACTCACGCTTTCAACCATAAAATAATATATGATTACAATGATCCTTTAAAAAGAAAAGAAAAAAAATAATTTTTTGTTGTTGTTTCTTATTTAATTTTTTTTAGGTGATTTTGTTTATTATGAAGAACCAGATTTTGATTATTATACAATTGGTTTAATTGAAGAAATTAAAGTATCTAGACGTGATAAATTTTCAATATTTATTAAATGTTTTTATCGTACACATGATATACCGGAAATATCAAAACAAGGTTTACCTGATCGTGATAATTATTATCCAATTCAATCAAATAATAATAATAAATTAATTCGTGATGTAAGCAAAAAAGATTGATCAATGATTCTTTTTTTTAATTTTTTTTTGTTTTTTTTTTCTTTTAAATTTTCATCTTTATATCACACATATATCACCACCACGCGCGCACTTAGTTTTAATATATATATATATATATGTGCGTATGCAGATGTATACAATTTACATCATACACATGTATGCACATACATTCGAAGAGAGAGAGGGAGAGAGAAAAGGTGATGTGTCTATAAAATCGTCTGTTTTCAATCGATGTGTCATTATCATCCTGTCCATCCATCCATCTATTCGTCTATTCATCATCTTTGTATAAATCGAAAGTGATGTGCGCGCGTGTGTGATGCGCATCTTTCCCTCTCTCTCTCTCTGTGTGTGGTTTGTTTGCCCTAACCTTTGTGTTTTATTTGATTTGATTTTGTCTTGTTTTTTTTAATCATTATTGACTAGTCAGTAGTAGTAGTAGTAGTCTCATTGCTACTATCATTAATATCACTATTATGATACACATTTTTTTGATGTTGCTGTTGTATGGAAACAGCAAACCAACTGACTGGGAAGCAGAGATGGATAGTGGCTAGCAGTGGAAGATTTTTTTTTATTTGAATGGGCTGTTAACAATTTTCATCTCTTCATTTTTTTTCGTGTTTTTTTGGAAATAATCGGGTGAGATAGATAGACTGATAGATGTGTCTATACATCTTTACATAGACACACATACACACACATGGATACTGTTTGATGTAACAAAATCAAATAGGTTTTCCTTGTTTTATAACTATGAGAATTAGGGGGATAATCAGTCATAGAGTAAAGAAAGATGTTAGATGATAGTAGGAATGCCTTATAAGGTGATATGACTTTTTTTTCTCTCTCCAAAAGTCTTTGTCATTATTTTACGGCATCTATTTACAATAATCTAAGCAAAAATGGATAGTGGATGTGTGTTGTTCCATAAATTTCAGTTTTCATTTAATGATTTTTATTATTTTTTTTGAAGGCTAATTAAGATGATGATGTAACTCCATTGATCAAGTGTAGATTTGTATACTTAAGCACTGTAACCTAATCACATTTTATGTATATGAGTGTTAATTATAATAATGAAATTATAGTAATGGAATTCGAACCTAAAACGTAGTGATTAAAAGTTGAATGTTTTAAACATCAAACCACTGCTCCGTAATTAATATATGATAATAGAATTTGATTAGATAATTGTAAGCGATCAGCGAGTGGTAAGTTATTCAATCGTTGGCAAAATGGAAGTACTGGACAGACGTTAAGGGACTCGTCGATAGGACGCATCCACAATACCACGACCATAGACCTAATCCAGGGTCTTAGATCACAAGCATAAATGCTTAACACTTATAGGATACTGAGCTGAGATCCAGTGATGTGCAAATCTAAGTTGAATCAGTCTACAATATTGCATGACCATCTTCGATTACCTTCAGTGGGTACCTTCCTCATAACCTAAAGGTTTGAACTCCGCTGGTCATGACTTTCCATTAGAACTCCGAAAAATTCTTTCTGGAAGCTAGTCACTAGTGAGCACATGATAATTGTCAGTATGAGGTTGTGGAGATCGTTGGATTTTATTGGTATCACGAACCGATCTAAGTCAGACAACAGATTGAAACCTAGAAGCTCTGGACATTCGTAAATGTTCGTTCTTGCTTATATAATATCGCTTTTCATCAATGAACGTATCTGATGTATGGATTTCATAGTGATCGCCTCTTGAACCTCCAAGGAGCGTAGGATAAAGTTCAGAATATACGAATCACTATGATGGCACTTCTTCGGTTGTCCAGTAATTATTATCTGGAGAGATTATAAACATTTTGTGAAGACATGCATAAATACACGTGGTTAGCAAATATAATTAGTGGTCTTAAACGACTCTGAAACAAAATTTATGACAATAAATTCACTTTTGGGAAAAGAGTGACTCAAAAGTTTAAGCAGAACAGATTTCACTGAGTTACTGACCCACTCAGACTAGTAACCATATAGGGAAACCTTTTTTTGTTGTATTGTACGGTGTCTCACTATGATACCGATAAGCAAGTTTTTTGTACCCGAGCACAGTGAGTTACTTGAGTGACCAATCGCGTGCGCAGTGTTTAGCCAATGTTGATTATCACAATTTATCAGTTTTAGTGCATTCGACAATAAAACGCACTGATATATGGCATGAACAAAAAATATGATGTTTGCTCCATTCATGTTATGTATCTTATACAGGGCTCCCAAATGCCCTGGTACGGCTGAGGGTGGGGAGAGTCAGCTATCCCTCTCCAAATGTACTCACATGGCCATGTGTATACAGCCACTCCAGAGGAAGTCTTACTCTTTGCCTTTTCAAACCACGGATGCTTTTTTACGAAATTGAGGGCACAAGAAGCGAATGTCCGGCGCTTTAACCGGGTTGGTGGCACGATGGGCTTACCAGGGGCAGATGGAAAACCCTCATTCCAAACCAGTGGTGCACATGGGATCCAGGATCCTGAGGAAACAAATGGCATATGAACCTATTGTTTGTCACCGACTACCATGGGACTGCATTTCCTGACGTTGCTCCGTTGTCTTGTGAATCAAACCTCTAGGTCCAAAGCTTGGAGTGTGGCCCCCTAAGGAAACCACCTGCTTTGGTCTGGGTATCCGGTCAGTATCATAGCCCACACACAAATCAAGTGACTTGTGTGGTGCATATGTATATGTTATATATGTTATAATACAAATATTTCTTCTGTCAATTTGCTCTTCTATCCATTTATTATTAATAGATATTTGCTCGTGAATTATTTGTCTCTGAAGTTCAAGAAACTTTACCAGCTAAACAACTACGTGGTATATGTAAAGTGAATTATTTACCCGATTTGAAAACTGCATTATCTACATTTTCTCCAGAAGAAGATGATAGTTTCTTCTATGTATTTGCATATAATCCTGAAACTCGTCGTTTGTCAAAAATTCGTGCAGAAATACGAGTATGTTAATAAATGAATATGGTTTTGTTTTTTCTTTGATAGAGTTTTGTTCTCTGAACTAGATGGTTTGGTTTCTTTTTTTGTGAAGAAAACATTTTTTTGTTTATGTGTTCACCTTTGCATAAAATGTTGCAATACATCAATATGAATTATGAAATTCCAGTGTTTGTAGTTTCTGATGTAGGTTTGTTCTCTGAGCTGGATGGTTTGGTCGTGGATCTTTCATCGTCCTTCTGAACTACATCATCAGCACAAATTTTGGGTAAAAGTGAAGTGTTTAAATTTCTCCACATGTGGTTCACAGCTTGTCCTGTGCACCTCCATGTTGATTGGTTCTTGTTGACGTTAAACAATACACAAGCTGTGAACCGCATGTGGAACCACAAGTGTGAACCACAAGTGGAACTGATTACCACAAGTGGCGTTCGTCAGGGCTGTCCGCTCTCCCCATTCTTGTTTAACTTTGTCATTGACATACTTTTAGAGATAGCACTTTCATCAGCTAAACCTCCAGGAGTTGAACTTTTACCAGGAGGCTCACTTGTTGACTTAGAATACGCCGACGACATAGTTTTACTCGGTGAAGACGCTGACAACATGCAGAGTCTTCTGACTACTATAAGCAACTATGCAGGCATGTTCGGAATGCGATTCTCTCCCTCGAAGTGCAAAATGTTACTTCAGGATTGGGTTGCAGCGACACCTGAACTAATGATAGGGAGTGAAGTAGTTGAGCGTGTAGACCACTTCACTTATCTTGGGAGTCTCATCAGCCCTTGTGGTCTGGTATGTGACGAAATCTCAGCACGGATACAGAAGGCTCGTCTAGCTTTCGCCAACTTGCGTCATTTATGGAGTAGGCGAGATATCCGTCTAGCAACCAAAGGACGGGTTTACTGTGCAGCAGTTCGCTCCGTCCTACTTTATGGCAGTGAAACATGGCCAATAAGAGTAGAGGATATTCGTAGGCTACTAGTGTTCGATCATAGGTGTCTTCGAAGCATTGCTCGTATATCCTGGGACCACCGGGTAAGTAATGCAGTTGTTAGGAAACGAGTGCTAGGTAGGGATGGCAAATCGATTGATGAAGTAGTGAAACTTCATCAGTTGAGATGGCTGGGACATATGTTACGTATGCCCGACCACCGACTGCCCCAACGTGCAATGTTTCATGGTGTAGGAGTAGGTTGGAAGAAAGCTAGGGGTGGCCAGACCAGAACGTGGCACAAATCAATGAAGTCACTGACAAGTGGACTGGGCCATTTTGGTAGGTGTAGACTACCTGGTTGGGATTCGCGAGATGACAGCAACCGATGGTTAGAGACCTTGAATGACATGGCTCAAAATCGTTTGCAATGGCGAAGATGCATCCACTTTTTGTGTTCTACCAAATTCTAATCTTCTGAATTCCTCATGTATTTATCTTTTTCTCTTTCCAAATTTATTTCACTGTACTATACTCCTTCAATAATTTCTTCAAACCCTAATCTTTTGGATTTCTGATTATACTCCTACTACTTCTACCACTATGGGAATTGAATCGACAACTGCATCTCTGTGCTAATGTGGTATGGCAACTCGAACTGATGTACGTACGTACGAAGTTCTACGTTGTGACTGACTGACTGACTGACTGACCGCATGTGGAGAAATTCAAACACTTCACTTCTACCCGAAGTTTGTGCTGATGATGTCGTTAAGAAGGATGATGAAAGCTCCACAACCGAACCATCCATTTTAGAGAACAAACCTACATTAGAATCACCCACCTAAGCTACAAATCTCCACCATCCCAAGTGTTTGCAGTCTTGTGCAGTTAAGTGTATACTCCTTAACTTATTCCGAATAAACAAATGGTTTTTATCATTAATTTGTAGTTTCTGTAAAGATCTTTTTCAAACACAATAAGTTTATTTTTGCGAAAATCTATTAAATGATTGATACATATTCTATACCTGTCGACTATACATACAATGGAACCAAAGATAATGTTACTACCAAGGAAACTGCAAAGAAATCTCGAAAATAATACCAACGAATTTTTATCGAATAACTGAATTGTAACTAGTAGTGAAATCGAGGACATGCGTTTGGTCCTGTTTGGAACTAGTCAGCTGGATTTACTTGTATCTTAATATCGGGGATCTAGCATCTTTTACTTCGAATTTCAACACATCCACTGATCGGCAATACATATTTTTTCTAAAAGCTTGTAATAGTGTAATTGAATTGAGGAAATCCTTACAGGATGCATGTACAGCCAACAAACATTGTTTACAATTCAATCCCGAAAATCAGCAACAAAACAGTTCAAACCTTACAGAAATACATTCATTTACTATAGGTATACCTATTAACATCAATTGATTTACTGTCACATCAGCTAAAAACTAGGCGAAATTCACGAAGATAAGCACTCATTATGTTTATTAGCTACTGGATCAATGGTACTTGGTAGTCGACAAGATGTGCGGACCTTTACATAAATTTTGGCCATAACCTCCCTCGATTATAAGACATTAGGCGTGTGAGTTTTGTGTAAGCTAATGATCATTTTGACTACGTCTTCAGAAATAATTTTTTTCGAAGATTTCGCTAGTAAACAAATCGGCTGATAGTTGAATTTCTCCGTCCCTTAAACTCTTAATTATTTGGACACATATTACCTTTAGATAGTTTGATTCCATATTCAAGCTGACGCCCGACCGTTGCTGTTACCTTGACGTAGTGGCCGGACTTGCTTATCGTGATGAACCGATCGGACTGTACTGGTTGGAACGATCGTTTCTCAGCGTCTTATCCTGCCAGGCATGTCGGTTGAAGAGCGGTAAGACTAAAAGCAGCAAATTCAATGTCCGAAGGCAAAATCATACTTCTGACTGTACTTAGTGTGACGGCAGTAAACTATTTCCATCAGACAACCAGCATAACAGCGATGCTGCCTTCCCACAAGAAAGGGTGGGTTTAGAAAAGGTCGACCCTAAAAATCCACACCTCACCTTATCCCACGGATATGCGTTTCCTGAGGTAAGGTCCCAACAAGTACAGAGTTAACACGAAAGTTGCTTACAAAAAGGTCGTCTGTGATTGGCCTCAAGCAGTTGTCCCTTGTGCACTGTGGTCACGCTCTCAGGTGACTGAGACCAACTTTAATCGAATTTCCTTTTCGGTTACCTCTAGAAAAACCACTTCACGGTGTGATCAACCGGGAAGTGAAAAAAGCCCTCATACCTCTAACGGCACTCAAGACCACTGTATTTAAGCTGACAATTTCAACGTGTTTTTGTCATTTGTCTTTTCTATGATCAAATGTTTCTAATCTAAATACATGACCAAAAGGTCTCAAGTGTCAAAGACTGTCATGAATCTTTGATAAGCCGTTTAACATTATCTTTCATATATTACTTAATCAACATCCGATTTCGTTCGCTTGAGTATTAAATTAGTGTATGCGGAAAAACCATTTGCTCTTTTCCTCAGTACTTAGTATTTTTCACTGCCATTTCTACTTACATTATTCCAATCTCTTTTACCGCGCATCTTGTTAATTTCATATTGTTGTGTTAATGTAGTTTGGGAACTTGGGCCATATACACATTTGTTCCTGTCTCCAAGTTGATTTTAACAGACTGACACTATGAAACATTATCTGATATGATTTGATTTCTTTATGTGTTTTCACTTATTGTGTCTTTTAGGTCGGACAAGCCTATCAAGCTTCATTGCCGGAATTTCGTCATTCCCCACCAGCTATGTATCGTTTTGGACATAGTCGAGGCAATTTTCGATCAATTAAACGTAGTCGTAAATCAAAAATTACATTGGAAACATCATACAAATCTGATCAATATGTTAATACACTAAAGTGTTGTTTAAGAAAATCGCATTCATTGTCACCATATTATCGTCGTAAATACCGGTGTAAAGGAATGAAGTCAGTTACTACTGTTGACAGTGACAATAATAATAACAGTTTAGTAAATCAGCTAATGACCAATGACACTTTGAATATTTCTAATCCTGACACTGATTCTCCTACCATTTCAATGTTGAATAGTAATAAAACATTAAAACCATCGTCTGATGACAACCTTATTAGTAGTAATAATCATGCCACTTGTGAAATAGATACTATACCAAATTTGTCAGAAGATATAAAAAATTCTGAAGAGAACAATATTGAAATGGATGTTCAACAACAAACGGATATACAAAATTCCATACCACTGTTAAATTTACCGCCAAAATTAGAGAATGCAAATGATTTTAAAGATTCTTTAAATACTATAACTACTACTGATTGTTCTCATCATAAAAAGTATCATTCATATTATAGAAAACAATTACGTCATCATCGGAAAAAACGACACCGTCGCTTAAGGCGGCGTCAACAACAATCACAATCTAAAGAAGTACTTGTATGGAGTCCTGGTGGTCTGTCCTCTGCTCTGTCTGGTACATCTAAGAAATTTGATGTTTCAAATACAACTGCTTATAATCATAATAACATTCATCTTAATGATATCAATGATAATTTTACTAATGTATCAAATAATATCAGCACTGATTTCAATTCCATGCTTTCTGATGAACCATTAAAGAATTATTTAGATGCTGTACGATCAATGGTGGCATTTTTTGGATTTGGTGGAGCTGATGATGATTTGGCATCAGCTGAAAATGGTCTAGTATTGGCTAATTTAGCTGCAACTACACAACACGCTTATGATACATTACATAAGTGTAATTATTCGTTAAGAAATGCCCTACAAGCGATATCATGTAATCCTATTGTAGCTAAGGTAATTTGTTGTTTTGCCAATTAGAATTCTTCTTTTTTTTCATTCTCATTACAAGAACAATAATCTTTTTTTGTAGCTAACGAAGTACAGATTAGTGCATTTTACTTCAAGCTACACTTTATTTAAGTGTTCAAAGCTGGTGATACCATCTGGTTTCTCAAATCGAAGTAATTAGAGCGGCATTCAAGCCTGTTACTTTATATTTTAAAGTTAAAAGCCTTAACCACTAAACTACCATTCCATCTAAATGGTTAATACATTTGATATTTAGACACTAAGTCACTGGTTTGAGCTTCACTTGACCTATTACAGTTTGAGTAAAGGGTTAATATCCACTGACCTTTCTTTACAAACAAACAATGTAACATGTGTTTGTACGTGGTAAATGAGTTCGTTTATGAATAATTTAGAGAGATGAGATTACGAACTCAGTTATCTTGTGTACGTTCGTCTTTTTTTTAGTTTCATGTTAGTTATTATCGGTGAACAGTAATATTACTCTCTCTGCTTTCCTCAAGCCTAAACTAGTGAGATGTTGTCACTGTGGTGTGGTCTACTTATATCTATATAAGTAGTATATGGTGTGGGTCAGACATAGAATGTATTTTGGCAGAAGACCGATGAGGAAAGGACTGAAATGAAGCACAATCGTTTGGAAAATGCATGAGCAATGGAATAAGAAAAGAAACAGTGAAGATTGAAACAATTGATTGTTAATTTGCAAATTGACTGTTCATTGTTTGGTTATCAGAATTTACTGAGATAGTCTGTAATCTTTGCTCAAATACATTCGATTGTCCCCGACAAGTGTTCTGTTCATTACATCACTACTTATTAGATCATAACTAACTTCACATCATTTGAAAATATTTAACACATACTCTACTTTTTTTCTATTCCGTACAGAAACAATCACTAAACTTAATATTTACAACTGGTTGGTTACTGATCAATGTTATGCATGTCAAGTCATTCTTAGTGTTGATCGAATCGTATCGATCAAGTTGTGATGTGACCACTAGTTGAAGTAAATCCACGTCGCGTGCACTATGTTGAGATGTAAGGTGATTGTTGGAGGTGATCGGTGAGAAAACCTGCTTGACGTAGTTTTCGTGTTACCTGATACTTGTCAACAAAATATGTCTGTAATCCTAAGGTGAATGATGCTTCTTGACAGATTCACAGAATTCGATCAGCACTAAGAAGGATTTGACATACATAATATTGGTTACTACTCAGTGACCAATCGATTGTGAATGGATATTAGTCCTTTAGGAGGTCACTCGTGGTAACATCTTTGCCTGTTAATCTGGGTAACACGGGATAGAGTCCTCCAGAGAGCATCAGTTTCCTGAAGATTACAGGCACACCATTTTGATGAGTGTCAAATAGCATAGAACCTAGGTCCAGGGTTTTCTGTCGACTACCTGTAACCATTACTTGATTGTGACTGCTTAACTTAAAGCGTTTAATGGACACTGGAAATTTGTATTAATATACTTATGGAAAGAAAGGTTTTTAAATAGCTACGTTATAACAGGTTTATTATACGTGTATATTTCTTATTCAATATTTAACCAATTTAAATGATGCAAAACAGTTGGGTACACATTCCAAGGCTAATAATCTATGGTCTGATTCTTTTTGTTGTTGTTATGATGGTTTCACGTTTCAGGTAGTTCATTTAATATTGTGTTCTTTTGTGGGGTGGGGGTGAGAGTATGGTATGTAGAGTTATATATTACTACAATATGATCCTCATTCTTTTAGTTAAAAAAACTCCATACGATCATAGTTCAGGGAAAAAGTTTTATAAACTAGATTGTTCCACTGATTACTTTATTCTTGATTGGTATTTATAAAATTCATCGGGATAATTTATAAGATTGCCGAAACTATATAAAATTATTATCAGAAGGGGGGGGGTTTGTGGAGATTGTAATAATTTAATGGTTGAGTTCATGAGTCAATTAAAGCTAGGTCACCACAGCAAACCTGGAATCACTGGACGGTCGTTTCGTCTTATTATGGCACTCTTCAGCAGTGCGCATCCACGATCCCGCTCGCGGGATTTGAACCCAGGACCGTTGATCTCGTGCGTGAGCGCATGACCTCTATATTTTGAGTCAGTCAGTCAGTTACAACATAGAACTTCGTACGTACGTATATCAGTTCGAGTTGCCATACCACATTAGCACAGAGATGAAATCTTCGATTCAAATCCCATATTGGTAGAAGTAGTAAGAGTATAAGTATTATGTGAAAGATAAGGGTTTGAAGATGTTATTGAAGGAGTATAATACGGTGAAATAAATTTGGAAAGAGAAAAAGGATACGGACATGAAGAATTCAGAAGACTAGAATTTGGTAGAACACAAAGAGTGTATGCACCTTCACCATTGCAAACGATTTTGAGCCATGTCATTCAAGGTCTCTAACCATCGGTTGCTATCATCTCGCGAATCCCAACCAGGTAGTCTACACCTAACAACACGGCCCAGTCCACTTGTCAGCGACTTCATGGATTTATGCCATGTTTTGGTCTGGCCACCCCTAGCTTTCTTCCAACCTGCTTCTACACCATAGAGCATTGCACGTCGGGGCAGTCGGTGGTTGGGCATTCGTAACATGCATTTGACAACCGGAAAGTATCCCAGCCCTTACACTAGTTGAAGGATTTGTGTGGCGCATATCTATTTGGTGCCTCCTTGTTTTTATTTATTTATTTAGACACATAAATATTGGTACAAAGGGGCACCAGATACATATGCGCCACACAAATCTCATTTGATTTATTCGAGGGCTGTGATACTGCTCAGGTGCCCAAACTGAAGCACATGGTTTTTTAGGGGTCCACACCTGGAGGCTGACCTAAAAATCTGATCCACAAGGCATTGGAACATCGTAAGGAGATGCATTCCCATGGTAGCCGGTGACAAATGATTGATTCATACACCATTTGTTCCCTCAGGATACTGGAGTCAGTCCATGTGCACCATTAGTAATGAATCAGGGTTTTCCCACTCCCCTAGGTGAACTTTCCGTGTCCACCGCCGGACATTTGCTTTTCGTCCTCTCAATTTCGTAAACAACACCCTCTCCACAAGAAGACCTATTTGTACCATTGTTTATGTGCTTAAATAAATAAATAAGAAAGTTTAAAATACATCTTCAGCTCCTAATATAATCAAATTTATGTTACCTGTGTAAATTGAAGTTTCAACAATTGATGATTCATTATAGGATATTTATTTAGTTGAGGTGATTTGATTCTAAAATCATCAGTGTTACATTGATCTATTGACGTAGTATTGCTATTATTATCAATTCTTTTTCTATTTAGGATACACCTAGGCATTGGACAACAGATCAAGTTCGTTTATTTGCACATGCTTTACGTATTCATGGTAAAGATTTTTTTAAAATTCAACGAAATTTCTTTGGTGGTAAAACATCTGTTATTAATAATAATGATAATAATAACAATAACTCTACCAACAATAATGGAAATAATGTTGATGGTGTTGGTCTATGGAATTCAAGTCAAGCTGGCAATGGACGTCTGCGTGGTCGTGGTCGTCGTAAATTGGGCGGTGCCAACGCAGTTGGTGTATGTTCAAATGCATCAACATTGAAATTATCCAGTTTAAAATCCGATGAAATCGGCAGTACCTCAGTAGCAACATTGGTACCGAGTAAACTGGATGAAGTTAAACCAGAAGATGCTACATCTGTACCTACCTCTGGGTCATCACATGACGGTGGAGAATCAGTTGAAAACCGTATTGTTTCAGGTAGGTTTAGTTATCAATATGTTATTTATTTACTCATTGAAACTACATGAGTTATGCTACAGTATCGTTTCAAAGAAGGGCCTCACACAAATGAAATGAAGATATTGTGAAAAAATGATAATATAGTTAATAAATAAATGTAAAAGTATTTTACTCATTGCGTGATACTGTTCATTCTGAAGTAAAACTTAAAATGCATTCTTTCACTTATGGAATCTCTCCGCTGTAACTAATAAGCAATGTGGGAGCAACTGGGATAAAATTCGGTTAATCTGATTATGGCTTTGCTGTCTGATGTGACCAATCATTCGGAGATAACACTAATCGAACAAAGGGAATCCCTGGACATTCTGAGCTCAGATAGTGTAAGTCTCGCTAACATAAAGTAGAACTGTTGTAACCGATGAGTTGTAAATCCAAACTTTTACATACAGAATGTCATCATGACAGCTCTTAGGATACCCCAGAATGTCTTATAACACTCTAGATTTCACTCCATTTTATCTTCCACACCACTACTAACACACACTACGTATATACACAAACTTTTCAACTATATTTAGTGTTTCACCATAAAAAGTGGGTACAGACACAGATTCCTCTCAGTCTCACAACGATGTTTTACATTTATAAGGCCAACCACGTAGTTCTTACATAGATTTTCCCAGAATGCCATTGATGGTTAGGTTGAAGAAGGAATCCCGTGATTAACCCGACCTTTTTCTAATTCTTTACAGGGTCATGAAACCCACATTCTAAAACCTAACACCTGTACCCAAGAGAAGTCTATACGGTACTTGTATCTGTCTTAATCATCAATAAAAGTTATACTAGAGTATGTTGTTACTGTGTTTGACTCACTTCTACTTCAGAATTTTTCCACTATTTTTCTCCTTTGTGTCCTTACATAATTTGAATTTTCATCTCTAATCTCACATGACTGTCAATATGAAGTGGCGGCGACTGTTGAACTTCATTTAAACCATGAACTGATCTAGGTCAGACAATCACTCTAAACGAGAAAAACCATTGGACAATCGTTTAATCTTTATACGTAACTCCACAGCAGTGTACATCCACAACACATACGACAGGTGTCGAACCAATGACCTTCGGGTCTATCATGGAGCACTTAACCATCAGAACACTAAGTCCCGTATCCAACAGTTTACATGATCTAACTCCAACCAATTCGCAATATTGTGCTATCATTGCCCATCGTCATTGGAGATATCTGTTTCACTCCGTTAATTATCCGACATTATTTTCATAATCGCTATTGAAATTTACCATATCATTATTTTGTAACATCACTATTCTTTATGTTCGCAAATAGATAAGTGGTGGGAACAATAAATAAATATGTCTTTGTGTAGGGAAATGATTATGGAAATGATTAGTCTGTTCCTGGAACACTTATTACTACCTTCCAAGGTGCTTCTTATAACTCCAAACTTCTTTTACATAACATCTGGATTAATTTAGAAAAGGTGAGAAATGCTAGTAAGAGTTTTACTCTAAGGTTAGTTTGTCTACAGAAAATCATAGGTGTTTATAGAGTTTTGAATGACTTTAGACTTTAAGAACTGTCTGGAAACATGCCAATTATAGTAGCGGTACGTCACACGTAATTCTTTATTGTCTAAATGTTTCTACAAAGCTTTTATTCAGCACTGATCGGATATAATATTTGTTGAAGCTTTTTGGGACCTCCAGAGACTTTGACGAGGGATATTTTGATAGCACTTCGACGAAAAATCCAATTGAGAAGAACTATTTCTCCTCTCTATTCATCCTCGTCTTTTGAGTGAAATAACTTTGAATAAGTGAAATCATCTTTTTCTGTTACAATATCTAGTCTGTTTGTACTGTCAATTTACATTTATTAACTTAAATTTAAATGAAATGTTACGGGGTGGGGGTGGGGGAGGTTACTTTATCAATATAAATGTTGTACATTGTTTCTTTTCGTTATTGTTACAGGATCAACTACATTGAAAGGATCGAATGGTAATGATGAAAGCAGTCTATCCACAGGTGTTCCTGTCACAAATGAACCAATCAAGACTGTTAAAGAATTAATAGCTTTCTATTATTATTGGAAGCGCAAAGGTACATCGTCTTGTTCCTCGTCATCGTCAGCATCGATTAGTGGTGTAGGGGGTAGTGGACATGGTGGTCTGAGTTCAGTTGCAGCGAATTTTGCGACTGCAGTAGTTGCAGCCACACTGAACGCTGATACTACTACCAGTAATACTGCTGCTGGTGCTAATAACAATCATATCCCATCTTCATTAAGCGGCAATACAACAACTCCTTTTGAATCAGCAAATAATCCGAATGGTAGTGCATTCTCTACTCAAGCTCATATTACTTCTGTTAGTGTTAAGAAACGGAAACCAACTAATCGTGGTTGTGTTCGTAAGTTTATGTGTATACATATTTTTATTAAATTTACTAAATAGAACGTTTCTTTGCTTTAATATGATATAGCAACTTCAATCGGTGCATGTATAAGTTCTTCGTTGTGTATGTTTGATTGATCGATTGACTGACTTAAGTTTATACGAACAACAGTAGATTTTATTGATAGTTTCATTGTACAAAAAGTGTAATTTTGACTTATAACATCATTCTTTACATAAATCATATTTAATTATCTATTTCAAACACTCACTGATGCACAGTTGTTGATAAGAATTATGGTTCTATGGTTAAGTGATCTTATTCAAATCTGAACTACTCTAATTGTTAATCCAGTCAAATATTTGAAGTAGTATTGTTTTTTACACATTAAATGTGTTTTCTAGATTATATGCATCATTACATAGTTGAACCTTTGTTTAATTTTATAGATCGTAAGATTGGTTATTAGTGCTTGATTGATCGTGTATCGTGAAATGATCAAGTGAACAATTAAGATACTAGACAAATATGGTTGATGAGATTGTAAATCTTCATTAGCTGAAGATTTATTGGTACAAAAAAGCACCTGATAAATATGCGCCTCACAAATCTCATTTGATTTGTGTGAGGGCTGTGATACTGCCCAGGTGCTCAAACTGACTCAGGTGGTTTTCTTAGGGGGCCACATCCCGAGCCTTTGACCTAAAGGTGTGATCCACAAGGCAGTGGAGCTTCGTGATGAGATGCAGTTCCATGGAAGCCAGTGACCAACAATAGGTTCATACACCATTTGTTCTCTCAGGATACTGGAGCCCATGTGCACCACTGGTTTGGAATCAGGGTTTTCCAACTCCCCTAGGTGGATCCTCTATATCCACCAACCCGGTTAAAGCCCGTGCCGGACATTCGCTTTTCGTCCTCTCAATTTCGCAAACAACAGTCATGCTACGAGAAGGCAGTGAGTAGGACTTGTGTGGCAGAGGCTATATATTCGCGTGGCCATGTGAGAGCATTTCGAGAGGGAAAGTGGACTTTCCCCACTCTCGGCCGTACCAGGGCATTTGGGGGCTGAAGATGGTTAGGACATGTATTACGTATCCCTACATACCGTCAACCTCGACGGACTATGCTAACCGGGTATGCTCCCTGTGTTATTCGAGTGAGTATCACTCAGCTTCACACTCTGAAACGTAACTACTTAGTTATTAAAACAGCAACTAACCTCCTGGATAACTGAAATTTTTACATTAATCGATCACTGAGTGGTGGTAAATGTTATGTTTGTGTATTCTGTAAGGTTGGTTGTAATTTATCGATTAAGTTAAATATAACAACTAACCTAAGTAACTCGACATCATTTCTCATAGGTTGACTAAGGTTTCGTGCCGTCTGTCCCTAACCACTTAATTTCGATATGTATCTTCGTTATGATAATTAAATACTACTAATATTGTCCCTTACATTTACACACACACCTGAACTATATGACTATAAATGTGTTGATGTCTAAGTCTAAAGAGATCATTGTTCACTGTGTACTTGTCTACTTATCGGTGTTGTTCTCATTGTTGTACTGATGATTATTTTCCCTTTCACTCTCTCTTATTCTTGATTAACGAACTTATCAATATGTTACTTAATTCTATTCATTAAAAGTAGTATATATTTTTCTCGAAAAAAGTGTTCTGTTTTCATATCGTCCTGGGAATTATTATCATTAACGATTCGTACGAATAATTGTTTACTTACTACCATAGTGATCATGATGATGTGGATGTGGATGATGATGATGATTTCTTTATGATTTCTCCTTTTGTTTTTGTTTTTGAATGACTTCATATGTGTATGTGTGTGTACTTGTTAGCTTTCAACATAATCCTTCAAAAACGAAAAAAAAACGATGCATTATTTCGCATTTAATTAACAATGGATTATTTATTTATTTATAACATTATCCTCACTTTCTTCTCATCATCATTATTGTAACTATGTGTCTACTTTTCTCCCTTTTTTTAAAATTATCGATATATATTATATCCGCTCTATCTATTTATCTATCTATCTATGCACCTTTCAAATGAAGTAACTAAACAAGCTTGGCTTGGTATCATTGAACATCGTAAAGCTGCCGAGTATGAACTACGAAGATTATTAACATTGAAATATGAAAAGAATAATAATCATAATCATAATAATGATGCATTACAACATCAAACAACTGGTATATATATATATATATCTATCTATATGTATTTGTGTATATCTATTTTGTATAAATGTATACAATGTGTGCTTTTTTGTGTGTACATATGTGTTCTGTTTTTTGTGTGTGGTTTTTTATTATAGTTTTGGTTGTTCCATGTCCTGTTTTCATGTGTGTGTGTGTGTATGTGTGTGCGGAGCTGGTTGTTGCTACTGCCCTCTATCATTGTTTATGATGTTTCTCTTTTCACTATTCTCGTTATTTACCAAATGTAATACTTATATTTTTCTAAATAAAGAATATTAGTTGGTCGATTGGTTAGTTACTTAATTATTATAATTACCATTATTTTAATATAATTCTGTCACCTCCTTATCATTCGCTTTTTTTTGGTATATGAAAAGTTTTTCTCTTGTCAATGTATTACAATGTATCAACATAGATATATATCAATGTGTGTGTGTTTATTTGAGTAAATGTTTCTTTCAGTGTCAGTCAGTCAGTCAGCTACAACGTAGGACCAGACACATTTATGAATCGATCCAAGTTGACATACCTCACTCATTAGTACAACAAGATGTGTCTAACCTCACTATTACTTACCCGGTGATCCCAGCAGATGCGAGCAATATTTTTAAGGCATCTTTGGTCAAATACTAGTAACTTACGAGTATCTTCTATTCTTAATGGTCATGTTTCACAGCCGTAAAGTAGAAAAGAGTGAACTGCTGCGCAGTATACACGTCCCTTAATTGATAGACGGATATCTCGTCTTCGTCATTGTGATTGGTTATGTATTTTATAATACTAATCTGAGTAATGAGATCCCTATGTATTGGTTGTTTATATATTCCCATTGATGTTTAGAACTGCAATTGTTCATTATCTTATTGCCATATAGGCATCCTGTGTGGATTGACTCGATATTGCCAATAAGTCACAGACACTATAAGCAGACATGGATAGTGGCTAGTAGGTGTAATTCATGACGTGCGTCTTTTCATTCTATTTAGGACTCATACTAATCTGGATAAACCTATATGCTAGAGTTGATGCTCACTGAGAGACTCGAACCCATTACTGTTCGTGTCGCCTTATTCGCTTAGCTACTGAGTTCAGATAGCCACTGGCTTGTGTAATAAAGTGATCAGTGAGAATTGATGGCATTGTGTAGATCGATAACTCACTATAATGGTTAATCAGTATAGAGTTATCAACTAATCAGTCGAGCCATACTGATTGACCGATTAACTGACTATATATGACAAAATAAGGTTGGTGCAAATATTAAATGTACATAATTCATTCTATTTCTATTCTTCTATCTTTTCCCTGTCCACTCTACAAACTCAATTTCCTCTATAGACAAACTTCTAATATTTTTTATTTATTTTATTTAAACACATAAATATTGGTACAATGAGGCACCAGATATATATGCATCACACAAATCGAATGAGATTTGTGTGAGGGCTGTGATACTGCCCAGGTGCACAAACAGAAACAGGTGGTTTTCTTAGGGGACCACATCCGGAGCCTCGTGAGGAGATGCATTCCCATGGTAACCGGTGACAAACGATTGATTCATACACCATTTGCTCCCTCAGGATACTGGAGTCAGCCCATTTGCACCATTGGTTTAGAATGAGGATTTTCCCACTCACCTAGGTGAACTTTCCGTGTCTTCCAACCCGGTTAAAGCGCCGGACATTCGTTTTTCGTCCTCTCAATTTCTTAAACAACACCCTTGGGACGAGAAGGCAGTCAGTAAGACTTCTCTGTCGGAGGCTTTATACGCGTGGCCATGTGAAAGAGCATTTGGAGAGGGAGTGCATACTCTCCCCACTCTCAGCCGTACTATAACAAAAACTCCTATTCTCTTATTAATCGGTTATTTATTGTTTATTAATACTGATCGCATGGCAATTAATGTTTTTTTTGACATTAAAGTGTTTACAATTTGAATGTTTTCATTTGTTGTTGTTGTTGTTGTTGTTGTTGTTGTTGCTGCTGCTGCTGCTTCTGTTTTCACTGTTTTTGTTCTCGATCTGCAATACAAAACTTGTAAGCAAGTGAATTCATTCCAGTTTTATTGGAATTCAATCAGAAATTATTTAAATGATTCTAAATAATTTTTTATTTCATGATATTTATGTCTAAATAAAAGAGTAAGAGAAATTTGTTAAAATCTGATACTACTACTCATACTACTATCAAATATTCTGCATTGCACTACTGAATAAAATGATTAGAATTTGTCATGGTAATTATTACCCTGAAGAAGTTCAGACAAGTTAGCTGGACGAAACATTAGAATTATTTAAATTTGAATCGCTGAGACTATTTTTAAATATAGTTTTTTTCCCCACATATAATGACTTCTCTATACTCGGCGCCAAATTTTTGTCAAGCTATTCGTTTTAACTTTGATGAATATTCTTATTTATTATTACTATTATGTATTTGAAGTATAATCGTTTCACCGTATTTATGGCAACTTGGACCGATGCATAATATGTTCCTGGTCCTACGTTGTAGCTGACTGACCGTATTTACTTATTTATTTATTCATGATATTATTACGTAATAATCGTAATTTTTTCTTTTCTCTCTATATTTCATTATTTCTTTTTTTTATATTTATTACAAGTAAATAATTCAAAATCAACATCAAATACTGAAGATAAATTAGAGTCGATTGATCCAAGTCATCATGAATCAGAAATTGAAGATCATAATGATTTAGGTAAAAAAAGTAAATGTGATAATGTTTGTTTACTTTTCATAATTGACAAAAACTGTTATTATCAGAAGGGGTTTTGTGGACATTTCAGTATTTTTCAAAGTTGAAATCATGAATCAATTGAAACTAGATCACCATGGAAAACCTGGAAGCACTGGACGACCGTTTCGTCCTATTGTGGGACTACTCCTCAATAGTGCGCATCCACGATCTAGCCTCATGAGATTCGAACCCAGGACCTATCAGTCTTGTGCCAGAACACTTAACTACTAGGCCACTGATTCGGCATACAACGGTGTGGATGCGCACTGCTGAGGATTCTCACAATAGGAAGAAACAGCCGTCCAGTGCTTCCAAGATTTCCATGGTGATCTAGCTTCAATTGACTCACGATTTCAACAATATAAAATTAGTAAAATCTCCACAAAATCCCTTTCTGTTAATTATGAATTAGTTTATTGTTTATCTGTCAATAATCTTCTCGTTGACCAATTACACAGAGACATAATTACTGTGAATAATGATCGCAAAAAATTAATGCCTATTGGTTCTGTGAACTTCTTTTTTAATCCCAAACAAGCAATCAGAAGATGAATATAAAAAGAGATAATGAACTCTCATTCTGTATTTGCCACCAGTATCTGAATCAAGTTGTCTGAGCCTACCTACACGAGTCAAACTAAAAGTCGATAACTTCATAAACTGATGCTATATCTTAATTCGTTCGCTCCTACTTTTCTTCCAAATTATTCGTACATCAATCATTGTCGTCTGTCTAGGCAGTCGATGGATTAGTGTACGTAATTCATGTTTTAACCATCTCAGTCGATAAGGATTCACTGCTTCAATTAATTTACCGTTCTTATCTAGTACTCTATGTCTAACTACAGAATTGCCAATTCGGTGGCCCTAAAATACACGAGCAATGGTTCGATAATTTAAGGATGATAAAATGTATAACAAAAATTAATGAACCAAACAGAGGCTTGCAATATGAGTACTATAATCTGTGTATCTAATAGTTATGCAGGAAAAATAGATCTATCATACTTTCTCGTAAAATAATTCTGAAAGTTTATTCCATTCTCTAAATATCCGCTTCAATCTAACATCTACCAATTCATTGCTTGTATCTGAATGGTGGAGGAGCAGGTTGGAAGAAAGCTAGGGGCGGCCAGACCAAAACATGGCATAAATCCATGAAGTCGCTGACAAGTGGACTGGGCCGTGTTGTTAGGTGTAGACTACCTGGTTTGGATTCGCAAGATGATAGCAACCGATGGTTAGAGACCTTTAATGATATGTCTTAAAATCGTTTACAATGGTGAAGGTGCATACACTCTTTGTGTTCTACCAAATTCTAATCTTCTGAATTCTTCATGTCCGTATCCTTTTTCTCTTTCCAAATTTATTTCACCGTATTATACTCCTTCAATAACATCTTCAAACCCTTATCTTTCACATAATACTTATACTCTTACTACTTCTACCAATATGGGATTTGAATCGAAGATTTCATCTATGTGCTAATGTGGTATGGCAACTCGAACTGATATACGTACGTACGAAGTTTTATGTTGTAACTGACTGACTGACTGCTCGTATCTGCTGCGATCACCGGGTAGGTAATAGTGAGGTTAGAGACAGGGTATTAGGGAATGATGGTAAATCAGTTGGTGCAGTCATGTATCTTCATCGACTGAGATGGTTGGGCCACGTGTTACGCATGCCCGACCACCGACTACCACGACGCGCAATGCTGATTAGTGTTGGAGATGGTTGAAGGGAAGTTAGGGGAGGCTAAACCTATACGTGAAATCAGAGCTTGAAGTCACCAACTTCTAGTCTGAGCCATGTTGGTAGATGGAGACTACTTGGTTGGAGTCCGTGTGACTATCGTAACCAGTGGTTGGAGACTGTATGATGTTGCTCAGAATCGATCACAATCGCGTGTATATACTCCTTGTCTGCAAATTTTCTTATATATATATATATATATATATATATATATATCAACGATGGTATCCATTATCAGTGTCTGACATCATTTCTTTGTAGAAGTATATGTTCAAAACATTTCATACATTTTCTTTTTTCCTGAATTCTCCATCTAGCGAACAATGGGCATGATGATGTTGATATGCCTGTGACATCTAGTGAGAAAGCAAACGAAATTACACCGGTTTCTACAACATCAAGTGCAGATTCATTGTCAACTAGTCGATCACGTAAACGAGTATGCAGAAATTGTGCTGCGGAGTTGCCGTCGACTGGTGAAAGTCCTCCTTCACCCATGGTATGCATTGGAAAAGTACATTTTACTGTATTTTTCCCTAACCGTAGTATTTATTCTGATATGACGATCGAGGTTGTATATCATGTTGACCCAATCGGACTATATTGCCTGCTGCACTTGTTTGTTTAGGTCTTAGCATGCCAGGCGGGTTGCTTTTAGATTAATAAAACTAAAATGAGTAAACTTATGATCTGATGATAAAATCGTACTACCGCCTGATGGCAGTTCTGCGTTTTCTCCAGACAATTTATAATTCGCCTTCTGTCAACACAAGGAAGAAGTTAGAATAGTTTGGCTTTTAAGACGGGAAACCTTATGGTGTCCCATAGATTTCCATCTCCGACAATAAAACACCTATATTACAGAAGGAAAACTCATGTAAAACTACTCTCAAAAATTTCACATGTAATCCGCCCTAAGTAGTTCTCCTTTAAGTTCTACAGTCACACTCCCAGGTCACGACGATCACTCTTTATTCAGCTTTTTCAAATACCTCAAGAAGAACTATTTTCCCATGGTCTGAACAAGTAGGAGTCAATAACAACTCTCATATTTCTATTAGTACTAGACTGTACAGTACTAACTGTACTTCTTAAATGTAATTAGAAATCATCAAAACATGCAGTGTGATCAAGAAATGTAACAGTCTAAAATTTAACAGCGTTGTCCCACGGCTGACGTACTTTTTGATAATTCAGTCTATGTATGGTCTTAGTTCTAGCTATTTGTTCAAACTCGTTTCAACTTCATATTAGTTTAATATTCAGTGGATGTATATTGGTTAGAGGTCAACTACGCATATATTATTCCTCAACTATAGTAAAAGCCACTTGATTCGGTATGGTAAAGTATTTTCATCACAAAATGTAGAATATTGCATCGAATTTCATTTAAAATGGGAATATTGAAAACATATAAATATATGATTTTCAGTATAGGGATGTGGAGATTGTTAAATTTCAATGAAATTATCAAGCTGGAAGGCCTTTTTTTCTTAGTATTCTCACTAGTGACTAGCTTCTAGAGGAAATTTACAGAGTTCTTATTAGAAACTGCGATCAGTACAGCCAAATCGCGTCGAGTGTGAGGCTGTTTCTTACCGAACACTTTGGAAGATGGTCACTTTATATCGTTGATTGATTGAGATTAGAAATTACAGTCGTTGGACGCCCGCTCAGTGTTTTTTGAAGTTAAGATTTCGGGTGCAAGACTGATGGTCCTGGGTTTGAGTTTCGTGCGAGAGATCGTGGATGCTAACTGTTGACGAGTACCATAAAAGGATGAAACAGCTATCTGGTACTTCCTTTTTTCCAGCGGTTGTTCAAATTAGATCGGTTCACGATTTAAATGAAATATATGTGAATAAAAGTTTTGCGACGACAGATAATGTTAGTTCACTCTAATAATGGCGTAGCAGAATGTTACACATTTATAAAAGTGACCATCAAATAGGTGCATATTAATAAAATTGAGCATTGAAAAGGGAGAATAACACTTTTTCAGTGATGTGAAATTTGTTCAATATACCATTCGGTGAGGAAAACCTTCCTAAAACGAACATTGTAATGGGAGAATTTCATAGAGGCTTTAGTTAACTTGTTGGTGCTCATCCAAGTATATTGAAATGTATTGATGCTCTGAATAAAGAGCAATCTAAGTGGATGGAAAATTAAATATTCCGTTGCTGAAGTCTAGCAAAAGCAGTACGTATTAAACTAGGTTTTGAAGATTATGAAAACAGATTGACAGTAGACTATTTAATTAGAATAATTCATGTCTTTTAAATCTTAAAAGAAAGGAAATGTTTTAACTATTTAAAACTTATTCATAGTGAAATTCACTAAACATTTCTTATACGTTTTCGAAACATCCCTCTAAATAGACTGTTCCGAAGGCAAAGTGGCACTGTCGACTGTACAAAGGTGTGACGGCAGTAAGGTGTTTCCTTCAGACAACGAGCATAACAGCGATACTGCCTTCCCACAAGGAGGGGTGGGTTTAGAAAAGGTCGACCTTAAAATTGCACACCTCGCCTTATCCCACGGATATCCGCCTCCGGTGGTAAGGTTGTTTGAAGAACGGACCTAACACGTCAAAAATGCCCACAGGAAGGTCATGCATAACCGACCTCATGCAGTTGTCCCTTAGGCACTGCGGTCAAACTCCCAGGTACTTCAGACCAACATTAATCCATCTTCCTTTGCAGGTCCCTCAAGAAATATCCTTCCATGGTATGGGCAGCCGGGAAGTGATATTATCCCTCATACTCGTAACTGCACACGAGACCAAGTTGGTTACCATCATATCCTTTCTACACCTAATAACTCTCTGATCTCCACGTCTAACCCTTCTCACGTCCTTTTATCAGTTCGCACCGCTAGGGCAAACGATTCGAGTACACAGAACGTTATTCCTGGTCTTCTGACTGACTGTTCGCTTTGTTCTTACGAAATTACATGATTAGGGTAATAAAAATAACAATTTGTTACCAAATTCGAAGAATTATAGTACTTAATGAAAACATACTCTTCATTAAGCTTTTAGAAAACTTCTTTTTTGATTAGTCCTAAGGCAGAAGAGCAGAGAACGAATCGAACAAATTTCACATCATTAAAATGTCACCCCCCTTTCAATGCTCACTTTTAATAGTACGTGTTTTTTTCCATGGTCTCCCTTTCAATAGTCCATCTTAATCATGCACACTCCCTTCTACGGATACCTTATTGACATGGAATAATTTAAGTCCATGCACATTCATGCCCAGCTCTTAGGTTGTTTGAACAATTGACTAACGTTGGTTAGCTACCAGTTATTTTTGTCTGGTAAAGTTCACTACTAGCTTAACTATCATGATGTATTTTTGCTCTCGTAATACATTTGATAAATGAATCCCAAATAAATTACTTCACTTTTGTTTTATCTTCAAAGTACAAACAACGTATCAGTTGTACTAACGCGCACTAAAATCATAGTTACTATGTTTAGGTAGCCACTTACTTGTTCAATGTATTTTATGGGTTTGATGGCAGTGTCTGTCATTAAAAGGTGTACCTGAGTAGAAGATACTCGTAGGTTACTAGTATTTGACCACAGATGCCTTAGAAATATTACTCGCATCTGCTGGGATAACCGGGTAAGTAATAGAGAGGTTGGACACAGGGTATTAGGGAATGATGGTAAATCAGTTGGTGCAGTCATGTATCTTCATCGACTGAGATGGTTGGGCCACTTGTTACGTATGCCTGAACACCGATTACCACGACGCGCAATGTTGACTAGTGTAGGGGATGGTTGTAAGAGAGTTAGGGGCGGCCAAACCAAAGCGTGACATCAGTGCTTAAAGTCACTTACTTCTAGTCTGAGCCATGTTGGTAGATGCAGACTACCTGGTTGGGGTCCGCGTGACTATCGTAATAAATGGTTGGAGACTCTGGGTGACATGGCTCAGAATCGATCACAATGGCGTAGGTGTATACACTCTTTATCTTCCCTTAACTTTTTTTCTTCCTATACTATATCCTTCTATACGACCTTTCTTTATATACTACCACCACTAAATTAATTACTTCTATGAATCCGGTGTACATCTTGTTGTGCTAACGAGGTATGGCAACTTGGACCGATGCATAAATGTGTCTGCTCCTACGTTGTCGCTGACTGACTGATGGGTGTGATGTATTCTGTTGTCGAATCCTACTGTGAATCAAGGTGACAAAATTAAGATAATCATATTCAGTAAATTATTTAGAAGAATTGGAGCCATCTACAACTATCCTCTGTGAGCCTCTTCAGTCTGGCACATGACAGACATCTCGCTTGACAAACACAAGTATGGTAAATATTAAGGAGTAGAATGAAAGCTTCAATGAAAATCAAATTCACCAAATCAAATGTCTGAATGTCCAGACTTACGACACATTAAGACGATGCGGATAACCTCAATCGAATTTAGAAATTGTCAATCTTCTCCTGACTTATAAATTCCAACTCATGTGTTCAGTTAGTCCAGTAAATCATGATCAAGCACAATATTTGTTAGATATCGGTTGATTTTCGCAAATGAACACGTAAAGTTCATTCCTTTCCTTTCTAATCTCACTTAATGTGCAATAAATTAATCTATTAGACGCTTGAATGTAGTCTACAAGAACTTCTTTTTGGACTGGGTTTTGTGCTTGTTTGTAATGTGTACTTGTAATCATAGAAAAACTAATTATCTCATCGTTGTAACCCAGCTTCGTAGTCGGAGACTTACCGTCAAGATATTCAATTAATATTAAATTTAGATCAAGCATACTTTCCCGTCTACAACTTCAAACTACCACTTTACATCTCAATATAATGTATACGATGTCGAGTAACTTAGACTTGTGGTAATCATATTACAACTTGATTGATAAAATTTGTCCATCAATTGCTGACCAATAATATATAACATTGATCGCAATACTTAATTGATTAATCAATTGTAAATAACTTGATCTTTCTTCTTAAACTTTCATTGTGATTATGCCCTATTAGGGTATAATCAATTAATCTCAGAATGTTTATAATAAAAATATAATATGACTTATAATTACCTGATTTGAATTATTCTTTTCAACTTATGTTATTAGCCTAATCATCATCAATTGGGACAATTACGATTTCTTTGTTCGGATTGTCGTATTCATTTGCAAAAATACGGTGAATTAAAGTGTACATCGAAAGAAGAAGATGAAGAAGAAGAAGAAGAAATTAATAATCCATCTGAAGTAAGTAATATACAATATTTATCTGTTTGTTAGTTGCCTGTTTCATCAAATGATGTTCTGTTATATGTTGTTCGAGTAATTATTGTTTATTGACTTAGTTGAATAGATACCAGAAAGTTTCAGTTAGTCAGTCAGTCAGCTACGATGTGTGTTTTATCCTATTTCATGATACTCATCAGTTGTTTGTACTTGGATCTTTGAGTTAATACAGGTACATCCAGATGATGAATCCTGGATAGAACGAGATACAAGTCTTGGGTTCCACTGCCGGGCATAAATAAATTTATGTTATAATGACTACATTAGGACAGTCCGCATAAGGCGTATATGTGCCAACTAACTTTTATCAAATTTCAGTCAAAATATCAACAACGAAAGATTCAAAGCATTACAAATGAAATTAATGAAAACCTTTAATTTACAATAATAAGAATCAATGTTACAACATCAGTCTGTCATAATCAGCGTAGAATCTGTCACAAATGTACTTTGTTTCAAATTACCACGACAAGATGAAATTAATAAGTCCAACAGCTAAGAAGTCGAAGTAGTACTAATATTTGTACCAATAAAATGACTATGATTGAGATATACTACCCAAAATCTCTAATGATTAGTTAAGTTAATCACTCGAAACCCAATCAACTAGTCTTTGCCTATCTACATAAATTAGTTCAATTGTTAATTGTTTCATGAACTGGTATCATGTCTTAGTTTAGTCTCTTTTAGTTTTCTTGCAATCTATTCCTACATCAAGTAATATCACGTGTTTAATTAGGGAGTGTGGTTTGGGCATATGTTTTACGTTTTCAAACCAACTTATTTGATGAATATACGCTGCTTTATCAATATTTTTAAAAATATTTCTCCTAGTCTGTATTCATAAACTCACTTTTATTGATCATCTCTTATTCTAGTTGAAATTAACTTGTTTTTCTCTGTTAACACATAGGAGAATGATCGTGTCTTTAAAATATTCATTCTCAGGTGTATGAAAAGTTTTTATCCGAAGTGGGTTTCGTGGAGATTTTAGTAATTTTATATAGTTGAGATGATGAGTCAATTGAAGCTAGACCACCATGTAAAACTTGGAAGCATTGAAAAGCCGTTTCGTCTTATTGTGGGACTCCTCAACAGTGCGCATCCACGACCTCGTCTTGCGAATTTCGAACCCAGGACCTACCAGTCTCGTGCCAGAGCACTTAACCTCTAGACCACTGAGCTGGCATCCAACGGTGTTAATGTCTAACTTCAACCAATCCACGAAGTTGAGCAACCATTTCACCAATATCTTCAGTTAGTTGATATCCTCTAACAGACCTGGTTGGATACCGGCTCAGTGGTCTGTCGGTTAAGTGCTCTGGCACGAGACAGGTAGATCCTGGGTTCGAATCTCGCGAGACGGGATCATGGATGTGCACTGCTGTGGAGTAGCCCCACAATAGGATGAAACGACAGTCCAGTGCTTCCAGGTTTTCCATGTAGGCTAATTGTTGAAGTGTTGTGTGTGTATGTGTCAGTTATCCAATCTACTGAGGTTGTGTAGATTCAATTGTTCATTAAAATAATATTTCAATCATTGATAATTAAGAATTACTGTAGACTATAGCAAAATTTAACAATCTGGATGTAATAATACAGCTCAGGATATCTATATATAAGACAAAAACTATCATAATTTATGTCCATGAATGTTGGTTCCATTTTTGTTACATATTAAATAGATGAAGTGTATTACTGCTGTGATTTCACCCCCTGTATGTTTCTATCATTATGTCCCTGTATAGATTAGTTTTGTTTTCCTTTCATAAGATCATTGATGTTGATCATTGAATCACTTTTTTAAGTTCTCTTCAGGTTATAATTATTGATTTTCTTCTTCTATTTTGTTATTTAGACGCTGAATTCAATATCTAATGGTGAGCTTCAAAAAACTTTTTTTCTGAATTTTACGTATTATGTTTTGACTTGAAAATTGCATACTTCAGTATTTGATCTGTTCAGTTTTTTCATCACAAAGTCATATAAACATCATTGTTCTCCACCCGACTTCCCTCTATAACAGTTGTTGGCGCCACTCTTTGACTATTTGTATGAAAGGTTTGTGGGTTTGCCTGTTCAGTGGCCTAAAAGGTTAGACCTTCACATTTAAGTTTGTGAAGGTCGTGTACTAGACTTTCTTTGTTGAGGCCGTGCATTCGCACTGTCACTGAAGAGTGTCGTTTTTAGGTATATGCTACTTATGTTGACAGATGTAAGTATTATGTAACACTGATCAGAAGTGGAATGTTTTTCAAAAGAAGATTGAATTAAAGAGAACAGAAAGGAATTGGAAGAATCACGAGGAATGTAAATAACAAGTAATGGAAGATGTGCTAATGAAGTATTTAGTGTACGATTTTCACAATTTACAAATCTGCTGTAATTTTGAACTGATTATAAATTGGTCGTCCCTACCTTGAGTTTGTTCATTACTTTTGGTGTCGCTACCAAACGGGAGACGGAGAGGCTTCAATTCTGCGGACACCGTTGCGGGGCTAGAAGAGAAGTCACTAGTTGACGTCCAGTTGAGTGTTCTGGCGGGCGGCGTTGACTGTAACAATAGCTGTCAATGGAGAGAAGGAGTGGGACGTCTGATTGCTGTGCGGTCATCGGATGTAAATCGCACGGGGTGTATAACAGTAATCCATGTGCTGTAAAACTACACAATAAATTTAAACATTAATATGTAAGCCGTATTGCCAGAAACACTTGATCTGTCTACAGATTGTGTCTGAAATACTTATTTGTCATTTGTGGGTACTTGCTGTGATTCATTCAGGCAATTTAGTCGTCTGACAAATGTATTTGTAGTTTTAAAGCATGAGTCAATTGAAGCTAGACTAAATCTCCACAAAACCCCCTCTGATAAATGTATTTGTGTAGCATTCTGTTGTTCTAACCTTAATTACTAACCGCCTTTTTACTTACTATAATGAATAATTCAGGATGAAAAGATCTATTAATCATGTGTTTCTGAATAATTGATAAGTTGTTCAAATTCCCCAGCATATAGTTCTACTAAATTGGTCTTAACTTGTTTTTTCTTACCTCTCTTACATGCTACTTACAAGTAGTAAAAATGTATACATTCGAAATTTTTCGAACTTTCATTCTGTTCGCCTTTTATTATCATTATAGATGGAAAGCTTCAAAAGAAAGAATCAAATGATGGAAATCTTTTAGATACCATTGAAGAAGATGGATTAGAAGATGTTAGAAATGGGATAAAAGATGAAAATTCTAATAAAATCACTGTTAGTTCCATGTTGGATGCAATAAAACCAACATGTTCATTAACAACATCATCAACAAATTATCATAGAAAACATAAGAAACATACATTAGATCGATCGAAGAAACAATCTCATTCTGATAATTACGACTCATCAAGTAGCTTGTCATCATCATCTTCATTATGTTCACTTAAACTAAACATGGATAAATATTATTCTATTTCATCGTCAGCTTCATCATCACCGAGATCATCTCTGTTAGAAAATGAAGATGTAGAGGAGGGGGAAGAGGACTCAGACTCTATTGGATCTGATTATGAATCTGACAGTTCACCAAGTTGTAGTAGTATTGGTAGTCCAATTAATTGTAAATCACCTTTAATACATCATGAATTGAATGAAATTAACTCAGAATGTCCTAGTTATCGTCATATGAAAAGAAAAAATTCACATACTGTCAATCATCTACGTCTCAAAGGTAAAAAACATATATGCAATGATATAGACTATATGTGTAAGCCACCACCTAAATTGGAAGATAATAGAGACTATGATTGTAACGAAGATAATCAATGCTTCTCTATCCAACGTGAGTGAATATGTTTTGATTGTACGTTATGCTAGTGCGTTATTTGTACTAAAGTAAACGGGGTTTTTTCGCGTTACCTAGCCCCTGTCTTTTAAAGGATAAGCATTTTTCTCAATAGTCTCATCTTTATCATTTAAAAGACCTACAAAAGTATAAGACATGGGTGATTGTGAAATATTTATAGTCCTTGTTTCCGAGGCATTGTTTACGTTTTCTGAGACAACTACCAAGTGAATGTTGTTGATTTCAAACTTGATTTGCTTGATGAAATAGTAAGGTTTTAAACCTTCGTCATTTGAGATATTCTGAATTTGTGTTGCGTGTACGCAACTACACCCTATTGAGGCGCTGACTGCTAGATAATGTAGAAATAAGCCTACAAAATAGTATGAGTAGGCAACCTGACACTAGTCCATAAAATCAATAACTATTGTCTTCTAATCTGTTTGTATAGGTCTCTAGGTGTTTACTTGTAGGACAGATAACAGATAGTGGGATCAACAGAATTAAACTTTAGACTGGGTGTCAAATCAATGGACTCAAATGGAATACCATAATTAATCACATGGGACGCTCTTAAAATTTAATGTTAAAGACCTAAAGCACTGAAAGTCTATTTCTTCTCAGTCTGCAACTCTTTAACAATGTTCTTCCATGATCCCGCCATCAGTAATCAAACCCTGAACCGGTCACATACCATAAAAATTCGACCATCCAGTTCTTCTAGGTTTTCAATGATTTTCTAACTTGAATCTGTTCATGATATCAATAAAATTGAAGTTTCTACAGTCCTAACCTAAGGGCATAGATTGTCCAATAAGCTTGTTCTATCCATCTATCAGCCAGTCAGTCGTAATCAACAAATAACCTGGTATAGTTAGTTGGTCACTGGTTCAAGTCTTCATACCATACTGGCACAATGAGTTAAACTAACACTTTGAATGGGTAAATAGATTGAAGTAATTGTAGTAGCAATGAGATTCAGTAAGATACGTTTTGAATTTTTTTGTTATTCAATGGTAAAAATCCTATTCTAATTATTCTTCGATTTAAGTAACCGGATAGTACCATATCCTTGCATACAATCTTTCTTTTATGTATTACCACCACTAAATTAACTACTTCTATGAATTTGCTGTTCATCTAGTTGTTCTAATGAGTGAGGTATGGCAACTTGGACCCATGGATATGTGTGCCTGGCCCTACGTTGTAGCTGATTGACTGACCGAATAGTATCACTAACCATCATATATTTAGTATATAACTTGAAGTACACTAACATATATGCACATTTCGTAAATGAATCCTTTTTTATAACCTTTGTTTTGATTTTCTTGATTGCTTTACTTTTAGCAAAGATTGATACAAATGATTCTCATTGTTCTGATACTACTAAATCTGTTTTACAATCATCAGAGATTCTTTCAACTTCCAATCTTATTGATTCACGTGATACAAAAGGACATATTTCCAATGTTTTGTATTCCAATACTACTAATAATAGTAGTATTGGTAGTATTAATAAACTTGATGAACTAAAGAAAGATTACACAATGAATTTACATGCACCCATTGATATTAATAATAATAATAGTGATACTACTACTAATAATAATGATCGACAATCGCTTGCAGAAATTGATGATCAACAACGGAATAATGATCCTGATGATGATGACGATAATAGTATACGTGAATTAGAAATTGATAAGTTAATCACTGCAACTAACGAATCAAATCCACTATCTTGTTTCATGTGAGTAGTATTCATGTAAATAATTGTTTCATCGTGTATATGGGTCTTTGTCCATACGTTGTTGTATCTGATAATAAGGACCTCTTGAATATCTGGACTACCTGTTTCTGCCATCTAGATATTTCAACAAGTTACCTGTTTTTTTATGTTTGTTTTAATACATCATTATGCCTATTAATCGTATAACCTATTCAAGTGCGTTCATGAAAGATTTACGATCTTTTGCTGTACAAGTTTAAAAAAGCCCAATCAAAGACATCATGGTGGTTGGTAATATTTAGATTATTCCGATATCGATTTCTGAACTGCTAACATCTAGCTGACGATCACTCAGTACCTATCGTCAAAGATCAACCAAGAAATAAGAAAAGGAAACTTGTTGAAATACTTTGTACTGATAATTCTATATTGTATCAGAAATATAATATTGAATAAAGTTTATGGTAATAACAGAGACTAAAGTTTAATTTTCTCTGATTTATCTTTTGATTTTTTCACACCATCCTATTTATTCATATACGTTTTCATAAGTATTCAAAGTTACTATGGAGTTTAAAACGCAGTTATGCAATCGTTCACAGTATTCCTCTACTGATACGACCAAGGGTGGGAAGAATCCTCACTCCCTCTCGGATTACTCTCCCATGGCCACGCGTATATTGCCAATGCCAGGGAAGTCCTACTCATTGCCTTCTCGTGGCATTACTGTTGTTTACGAAATTGGGAAGATGAAAAGCCAATGTCCGGTACTTTAACCGGGTTGGTGGACACTTAAGTCCACCTAGAGGAGTTGAAAAACCTTCATTTCAAACCAATGGTGCACATGCGCTCCAGTATCCTGAGGGAACAAATGGCATATGAACCTATTGTCGGCCACTGGCTACCATGGGACTGTATCTCCTAACGTAACTGCACTGCCTTGTGCATCAGATCTTTAGGTCGAAGGCTCCAGGTGTGGTCCCCTAAGAAAACCACCTGCTTCGGTTTAGCACTCGGACAATATTCCAGCCCTCACACAAATCTCATTCGATTTGTGTGACGCATATGTATTTGGTGCTCTTTTTATACGAATGTTTATTTTTAAGTAATAAAATTGAACTTCACGACTAAGAAAGCAATCGTTTGTTTTATTGTTGTCTAAGTTCCACTTATTGATAAATAAATTCACAATCCTATTTATTATTCATATATTTCTCATTGTCTCCTATCAAAAAATAAAAAATCTAGAGATGCACATCGTTCCACCTGGTCACATCTTGTACGTATCTGGGATAGACAAATACAATATTCACATACAACAACAACTACAACACCTGGAACAACAGATTATCAATCAACTAAAATTGAAACAAATCTTGGTTCATGTGCTCGTACAGATTTAATTTATTGTGGAAGAGGATTAGATGATATTGCATCGAATAATCAAGAATTTTGGAATATACAAAAATGTAATTTATTTACAAAATATGCTGATACAGCTATTGGACCTGGTGTTAATCTTTATCTTTCATCATCATCTGTAATATCAAGTAATATGGATAATCCGATAAATATAGTCAGTAGTGAATCAATAAATAAGTCGGAAATATTGAATTTAACATCACCTAATGTAAGTTGACCTGTTCATTCAATATATATATATATATATATATATATATATATTTATTATAATTATGTAATACTTACTAACTTACTTACGCCTGTTACCCCTTGTGGAGGAGCATAGGCCGCTCACCAGCATTCTCCATCCAACTCTGTCCTGAGCCTTCCTTTCCAGTTACTATTCAGCCTTTTCATATCGGCTTCTATTTCCCGGCGTAGTGTGTTCTTTGGCCTTCCTCTTTCCCGCTTCCCTTCCGGATTCCAAGTTAGGGATTGAGTCGTGATGCACATTGGTGATTTCCTTAATGTATGTCCGATCCACTTCCAACGTCTTTTCCTAATTTCCTCTTCAGCTGGAAGCTGGTTTGTCCTCCCATAAAACGCTGTTGCTGATAGTATCCGGCCAGTGGATGTTGAGTATTTTGCGTAGACAACTGTTTATAAATACTTGTACCTTCCTGATGATGGCCGTAGTAGTTCTCCACGTTTCAGCTCCATACAGTAGGACTGTCTTGACGTTCGTATTAAAGATTCTGACCTTGAAATTGGTTGAGAGTTGTCTTGAGTTCCATATGTTCTTCAATTGTAGAAATGCTGCCCTTGCTTTGCCAATCCTCGCCTTTACATCTGCATCCGATCCTCCTTGTTTATCAACGATGCTCCCCAGGTACGTGAATGTTTCCACCTCTTCCAGAGTTTCGCCGTCAAGTGTGATTGGGTTGGTGTTCTCCGTGTTGCATTTGAGAATCTTGCTTTTTCCTTTGTGAATGTGGAGACTTATCGATGCGGAGGCTGCTGCTACATTTGCTGTCTTCATCTGCATTTGTTCGTGTGTATGAGAGAGGAGGGCTAGGTCATCTGCGAAGTCCAAATCATCTAATTGATTCTGAGCTGTCCATTGTATTCCGTATTTCCCTCCAGATGTCGAATTCTTCATAATCCAGTCAATCACTAGAAGGAAGAGAAATGGGGAGAGTAGACAGCCTTGTCTGACTCCGGTCCTTACTGGAAACGCATCTGTCAGCTGTCCTCCATGCATGACTTTGCACTGTAATCCATCGTATGAGTTTTGGATAATGTTGACAATCTTTTCAGGAACTCCATAGTGTCGAAGAAGTTTCCATAATGTTCTCCTGTCCACGCTGTCAAACGCCTTCTCATAGTCAATAAAGTTGACGTATAGTGATGAGTTCCACTCAATTGATTGTTCAACGATGATCCGTAGTGTCGTAATCTGGTCTGTGCACGACCGATCCTTACGGAATCCAGCCTGATGATCCCTTATTTCGACGTCTACTGCGTCTTTCATCCGATTCAGCAGCACTCTGTTGAAAACTTTTCCTGGTACTGATAACAAACTGATACCTCTGTAGTTCTCACATAGGCTCAGATCTCCTTTCTTTGGTATCTTGATGAGATATCCTTCTTTCCAGTCCGTTGGCACTTGTTCCTCTTCCCAAATCTTTTTGAATAGAAGGTGAAGCATGTTTGCAGTTATTTCAATGTCTGACTTCAGTGCTTCTGCTGGTATATTGTCAGGTCCTGCCGCCTTCCCACTTTTAATTTGTCTGATGGCCATCTTGACTTCTTCGATCGTTGGTGGAGTGACATCTATTGGAAGGTCAGTGTGTGCTGCTTCGATGTTCGGTGGATTCAATGGGGCTGGTCTATTCAGCAGTTCCTCAAAGTATTCTGCCCATCTTTTCCTCTGTTCTTGAATCTCAGTGATTGTCTTTCCTTCTTTGTCCTTGACTGGTCTCTCTGGTTTGCTATATCTCCCTGCCAATTTCTTCGTTGTATCATATAGTTGTTTCATATTCCCTTCTCTTGCAGCTTTTTCCGCCGTCGTTGCTAGTTCTCCCATGTATTTCTGCTTGTCGGCTTTAATGCTTTTCTTCACTTGCTTGTTTGCTTCTGCGTAGTCTGCTTGTGCTTTGACTTTCTCTGCTCGTGTTCGGCTGTTGTTAATTGTTAGTCTCTTGTTCTTTCTTTCTTGAATTTTGTCCAGGGTTCCCAGAGAGATCCATTCCTTGTGATGATGCTTCTTAGGACCAAGAACCTCCTGAAACGTTGAAGTCAGTGCTTCTTTTATCCCTTTCCAGTTGTCCTCCAAAGTAGTTTCTTGTTCTTTCAGTAGATCCTGTACAGCTTGGAACCTGTTGTTGAGAGTTATCTTGAGTTCATGGAGCTTGTCAGCATCTCGAAGGAAGGCTGTATTAAACCTTTGTAGTGCTGTTTGTCCAGTTGTCCAGTGTTTCTTAAGCTTCAGTCTCATCTTGGCCACAACCAGGTGGTGATCTGAAGCTATGTCAGCTCCTCTCCGGGTTCTCACATCTTCCATTGATCTTCGGAATTTTTTGTTGATACAGATGTGATCTATCTGGTTCTCTGTGGTGTGGTGTGGTGAGATCCATGTAGCTTTGTGTATGTGTTTGTGTGGGAATATTGTGCCGCCTATAACCAATTTGTTGAATGCACATAGGTTTGCAAGTCTCTCCCCATTTTCATTTCTTTCTCCTAGTCCATGTCGTCCGATTATATCTTCATATCCTGTGTTGTCCACTCCAATTTTAGCATTTAGATCTCCCATCAGGATGGTGAGGTCCTTTCGTGAGCACTTTGCTACAAATGATTGCAGCCTTTCATAGAACTGATCTTTATCATCGTCGTTGCTATCATTGGTGGGTGCATAACATTGGATAACGTTCATTGTGATCCCTTGCTTCTTTGTTCTGAATGATGCTTTGATTATCCTGGGTCCATGAGATTCCCATCCCACAAGTGCATTTCGTGCTTCTTTGGACAGTATTAGAGCAACTCCCTGAGTGTGTGGAGCATTTTCCCCTTCGTGACCGGAGTACAGCAGCATCTCTCCTGTACCTAGCCTTTGTTGTCCAGTTTGTGTCCAATGGGTTTCGCTGATTCCGAGTACTGTCAAGTTGTATCTCCTCATTTCCATTGCTATTTGGCTGGTCTTTCCTGTCTCCCACATTGTCCGGACGTTCCATGTACCTATAAAGAGTGTTGCTCTGATTGTTAGAAGGTGCATCGGTCTCGTGACTTCCGAAGAATTTAGGCTTTCATCATGAGACGTCATAATTATTCCTTCAAGTGCCAGGGCAGAGTTTAAATGGTTTGAATTATTATTTTTTCTGGTTAGCGTTTTTTTAGCGAGTTAGCTTTTCTACAGGATGGGGTCGCTAACCCCATGCCCAACCCTCCTCCTTTACCCGGGCTTGGGACCGGCAGTAACTCTAGAAGAGCTACAGGCGGAGTTATAATTATGTAATAATGATTGAATAATTGAATTTATAAATAGACCAGGTAACTTGTAGCCTTATGTCTTATTAGTATATTAGATAATGATACCGCCAATTAGAGACCAGTGACTTGTCGACCGGACCAATTATGCATAAACCTGTACGACTAGTCTTGAGTCCTTCTCGGTCCTTCTTCCTGTCTAGCCCTGCGTATTGACTCCAGAATGCAAATCTCAGATTCCGCGATATGAATCATGTATTTCAAACAATGACAGATCTAAGGTCAACAAGAACCAAACAACATCGAGGTACACAGGACAAACTGTGAACCACATGTGGAGAAATTCAAACACTTCACTTCTACCCGAAGTTTGTACTGATGATGTTGTTCAGAAAGACGGTGAAAGCTCAACGTCCAAACCATACATCTCAGAGAATAAAACTCCATCACAATGATGAATTAATACAAAATTAATTGGATATTAGATTTATCCTGTTGATATTTTTTGTTGAGTTTTAGTTGAAATATTTGGAAATCCTGTACGGATCACCTCTATATAGCAATTATGAATAGATGGAAATATGGCTAGTAGTTGAATTTTGAACGCATGTTTCGTCTTATTTTGGAACAATACCAACTCTGGGACACAGGTTCATCCATCTGATGAGTCCAAAAATAGGACGAAACACACACTATAGAATCTACTGTCAACCACATTTTTTTTTATCTACTTTCATTGATTGTATCAGTTTGAAAATATGAATCGACATAGTTTAATTGTACTTGCTATCAAAAAAGAATATCTTCATTTTTCATGTAAAGATTTGATTAGTTCTATATCATAGTAAAAATTTGAAAATCTACTCATTCACTAAGTGTTTGGGTATAAGTCACACTCTTAGTATGAGCACCAATGATACTTTACGATTGCCTAAAACCGAAATAGGCGGAGTGAAGTTGAAACCATGGATTTAGTGACTGATATCATTCATAGTAAGTAAAGACATTACCTACACCACTAGATTGTTGTCCTATTGAAGTCAAGAACTTCACTGGGAAATGAAATTTGATGCTATATATATGGCACTCTGAACTCTTTTTTATGATTTTTATTTTGATTATTCTTCATTCATGGATGTTTTTTAGGCGAACTATACAAATATGTCCTGTAATCCATCTCCAAGTATTCATGATTCATCATCGACTGCACTTGATTTATGTTCACGTAATAGTTCTAAACGATCATTTATTCCATCATCATGTTCAACAGAACAACCATGTACAAAATCTCGTCGATCATTTCAATGTGATACTATCAATAATCCTTATCTGCATTCGATCTCATCAAATATTCCAAATGCCAATACATCTTGTACTACCGTTTTAAATAGTATTAGTAATACTGTATCCAACTCACAAATACTATCAACAGGAGCTGGATTGAGACCGACTGTCAACAATACTTCTACTACTAATACTATTAATAATAATAATAATAATATGTCAAGCCAACAACAACGACAACTTCAAACTATGTATGAACAAGCGTTAATATTTGCTGCAGCCGCAGCAGGTCATTATCAACATAGTCCTCCTATTCCTTCTGGTCCAGTACGCGACACATCTAAATTTTTCCCAACTAATTTTGAATTGAATAATCAAATGAAACAAACACCTGTTGTATCTTCTCCAAATCTACGCTTTATAAGTTCAAATAGTAGTAATAATAATAATAATCCTCTAATGTCAACTAGATTGGGTGCTGCAACTGGAACATTCTATCCACCAATTTCTTCCTTGTCAACTTCAACTGGTATCTCTTCCTCATTGTCGTCTAGCAATAATAATAATAACAATACTTTTGGAATAAATAAACCATCAATTAGTGGCGCTCCATTTAACTTCAATCTAACTGATTCTCAATACCAGTCATTAAATCTTCAAACGGCACAGATGACCATGTCCGCTAATAATGTCGGTTCCATGTCTAATCTTCACGGATCGAATTTTAACCCTACTACTGGTAGTAGTATTAGTAGTTGTTACAATGGCTGTAAGTATATCATCAGTGTTTGACATTTTTTATATGTTCATTATGTTTCTTTAACATTGGTATTTCATTTAATTAAATGCTTCACAATTTTATCAAATGATTCGCCATCTTCAGAGCTGTTTACTACTGTATACTTAGCTTCAATAGGATTGTCAAGTCGATTGTCCCACAATATGCGAGCAATGCTCCAAAGACAACTATGTTATAAATAAGCCACAGCCTATACATGTCTTCTTTCCAAAACAATAAATCTTCTCTATAGAGTAATGCTCACTGAACTGCTCCATAGCATACTCGTCCTTCGGTTGTTTGACTGTCTTCGCGTCTACTGAGGTTTTCAAGTTAAGCGAAATAATTGGTGCGCTCAACTATTTCAAACCCTATCATTAATTTGGGCGTTGATGCAGACTATCCCTGAAGTAGCATTTTGCATATAAGAGGAGAGAAACTCATCCTAAACGTTTTGTATTGTCGCGATCAAAATACTTTGAGTTTTGTTAGCGTGTTCAACAAGTAGAACTATGTCATCTACGTATCCCCAGTCAACTGGTGATTCTTCTGTTTTGACAAATGGAGTACAAAATGATGGTTAATGAAAGTATTGCTTTCTAATTACAGCTTTAGATTATCATTAAAATTATAAGCTGGTCTAATTTATACCATTGTTAAAAACCTGAAAACACTGGACAGCCACTTCTTCTTATTATGGAACTCTTCAACAGTGAGGATGTACGATTTCGCACCCAGAAATCGAACCAAGGACCCTCAATCCTGCACCCGAAAGCTTAATTACTAAAACACTTAACCGGCATCTAATGGTTTTTTGCAATAATTGTCTAACATTAATCGGTTCATGATTTCAATGAAGCTTAACAATTACCACACCCCCACACTGTACATTTAAGACTATTTGTATGTAGATAATAGTTATGAACTAATATCAACAATACATGGATTGAAACTGTTAAAATCTAGTGTTTCGATGTCTACAACTTCAAAAGGCTTAAAGAAATGACGATTATTTATAAATATTCGTCTAATACGATCCCAAACCATTGTTTAGGCTAAACCACTCATATGCATTTATGAACATGTTAGGTGATTTATTGTACTTGACAAGAGAACTTACTTGAAATAGGTTTTGTACTAGTTGACAAGTCACCAAAGCATACCTGTAATTGATACTCCTTGTAGGGGACCCAAAGACGCGTCAGATATCTTCACTGCCTAAAATGTAACGATGATGTTATTTGATCTTTGATTAACCTTTTTTATGGATGGAGATGGTTGTCATTGATTGATCACTTATTTATTTATTTATTTATTTAAACACATATATATTGGTACAAAAGAGCACCAGATACATATGCGCCACACAAAATAATGAAAGTAGCAAGAGAAGGGATGAAAAGATAAGGCGGACTGAAATGTACAACCAGAAGACTCTTTCAGTTAAGAAAGTTAGAACCACTCTTTATGTAGAAAGTAAAAGAAGGTTGCAGCAGGATCGCCACTGGCTTCTATCCTGAGCCATATCTGATAACGTCTCTAGCCACTGTGTTGCACCATCTCTCGGACCCCAGCCAGGGAGTCGTGAAGGACCAACAGAAGCTAGCCCTTTGCAGCTTTCTTTCATGCCACGACACCATGTCATACACTGACCTCCTCTCTGCTTTTTCCAACCAGTCCCAGAGTCGGCAAATAATGCACGACGTGGAAGTCTCTGGGACGACATTCGTAGAACATGTCCAAGCCACCGAAGTCGGTGTTTCAAGATGGTAACACCAATTGAATTATCGTCTCTGCGCCCGAACACACGATGCCGAACCTCTGCATTACTAACATGGTGTTGCCACTGAATGTCAGCAATCCTTCGGAGACAACGATGATCGAACACAGAGAGACGTCTAACATCCTCAACTCGGAGAGGCCAGGTTTCACAAGCATAGAGCAAAACTGCTCTCACCGACGCGTTGTAAATCCGACCTTTTGCAGCCAGACTAACATCACGAAGGCGCCAAAGATGGCCCAGATTGGCATAAGCCGCTCTGGCTTTCATTATACGTGCATCAATCTCATCACTCACGCCACCACCAGCACTTATATAGCTACCTAGATACACGAACTTCTCAACTACTTCAATCTGCTCACCATCCAGGGTGAGTACAGGATGAGAATCCTGCCAGTCTTGTAGGAGTACTTTGCACTTGGAGGGTGCAAAGCACATGGCGTACCTGCGGACACTGATTGCCAACTGATTAAGTGCGGATTGCATGCCTTGGGCATTATCGGACAGTAAGACAATATCATCCGCATACTCAAGGTCGAGAAGTCGTTCTCCAGGCAACATATCCACACCGCCATTACTTACATCCATCAGAGCTGTTTCCAGGATGTCATCGATGGCAAAGTTGAAGAGGAATGGTGAGATCGGGCAACCCTGTCTAACCCCACTGCTCGAATGGAACAAGGGAGAAAGGTGGTTGTATACCCTTACTCTGCCTGAGGTGTTCCTATACAGGGCCTTTAAGATGTTAATGAACTTCTCAGGCACACCCCTCTTCAATAGACAATCCCAGAGAACAGTCCTGTCCAACGAATCGAAGGCAGCCCTGATATCAAGAAACACTACGATTGTTGGCCTGCGATAAGTATGACGGTGTTCTAACAATTGGCGGAGGGTGAAGATGTGATCAATGCATCCTCGACCAGAACGAAAACCAGCCTGCTCCTCGCGAGTCAATCGTTCTCGGGTTTTAAACAACCTACGAAGAATGACAGAAGCCAATAGTTTGGACGCAATCGGAAGTAGACTTATCCCCCGATAGTTGTTACAGGAACAACGTGAACCCTTTTTAAAGATAGGGACGACTATTGACTCATTCCATGATGGTGCAACACTTTCTAGCTCCCAAACCTTTGCAAACAACATAGTCAGTTCTTTAGCCAGAAAGTCACCACCTACTTTAAAAAGAGCCGGAGGTAAGTCATCTAGGCCAGGTGATTTATAACGTTTCAAGAGTTGGAGTTCCTTGCGGACTTCCGCCTCGTTTGGTGGATCAGTCGTCACTGGCCATGGGGGGAAGGACAAGCTGGTTGATGTTGCCGGAGCAGCAGGCCAGTTGAACTGCCCTTCGAAAAATTCCGCCCATCGTCCAAGACGTCGAGAGACGTTAGTGATTGGCATCCCGTCATCCGCATAGATTATTTCACTCACACCCGACTTCTTGCTTCCAGTGGCTCGGATGAGTTGGAAGAGCTTCCAGCAGTTACCAGATGCAGCTGCTGCTTCCATCTCATTAGCACGCTCCGACCACCAGGCTTCTTGGTCCTTATGCAAGCTTTGCCCAATTTCATTACGAAACAGCCTTCGTTTGTGGTCAAACTCACGGTCACCCGGAGTAGACCGACGGGCTTCCATCAGTTGTAAGGAGCCAGAAGAAACCCAGTGCTTGTAAGCGGGACGTTTCGCGAAGCCGCAAGCGGCTTTACTCGCCATTTTCATGGTTTCATGAAGATGGAACCAATGCTCATCTAAACTTTTCGGTGGGATGGGAGCTAGTCTAGAGGCTAGCTCCGCTCGATACTTACTTGCAACAGAAGTTGCAGCCCGTTTACTAACATCGATCCGTTGGTGGTGGTCAATCCTTCGGCCACTGAAAAGTAAGGTGAGATTGGCGCAGACCAGGGCATGATCAGACTCCAGATAGGTACTCCAAAAGGAGCGGCAGTCTTGTACACAACCACGCCAGCGGTAGCTGATCGCGATGTGATCAATCGGAGTCCAGGCTTGGGATGCAGAGGGAGGACGCCAGGTGGCACACCGGCGATGACTGTGCCGGAAGTTAGTGCTGGCCAGAAAGAGGTTGTGGTCTGTGCACAGTTGCAGCAAACGGTCCCCGTTATCTGTCCTGCGACCAACAAGTCCCCATCGGCCACCTAGACGACTCTCTTCTGTGCCTAGACGCCCGACCTGTGCATTCAAGTCTCCGGCTAGTACTACAATATCTGTCGAACGCGCTTTCTGGAGAAGAACTGTTAACTGGTGGTAAAACTTATCTTTGATTGCATCCGAGCTGCAATCTGTCAGGGCATAGGCGGAGATGACGAAATGACACCGTTTCTCACGCCGATTTCTTCTCACTTTGATGGAACTTTCTAATCTAACAGCACATAACCGACTGTTAATGGGGATCCAATCGATTAGTGCTGCCTCAGCCCTAGCGCTTAGTGCAACACCAACGCCAGCAAGACTAGACGAAGATGCCACAGAGTCCCCGGATAAGCACACGTGGAACAAGCTCTTCGAGACAGATGGAGAGCGGATTTGTAGTAATTCACTAAAGTCTTGAATACGGGTCTCGGATAGACAACAAACATCAACATTAAGACCTTCCAAAGACATAGCCAGCCCTATCTGTTTTCTGATATGCATTAGTGTGCGAACGTTGAAGGAAGCCAGCTTGAACGGCGTACGTGGTTTCAGAAAGACTGCTTCAGTATTCGTAATCGGTGGAAGCGTTCACTTTCAACCAGACAGTGACTGGAGATCGTTTAGATAGGACAGAGTTTCCACCATGGGCGAGCTACTGCATAAGTTGAAAAGTAAGGTTACACAAATTGGGGATAAAAGGGGGTGAGTTAGCGATATGGTAAATAATAATAATAATATTAATGTTAATTGTCTTGCTTTTAGTATGAGCAGGGATATTATCGTCAATAGAGTTCATCATTTCATTCATTTGTGTGTGGGCTGTGATAGTGCCCGGGTGCCCGAACTAAAGCAGGTGGTTTTCTTAGGGGGCCACACCCGGAGCCTTTGACCTGAATGTCTGATCCACAAGGCAGTGGAGCATCGTGAGGAGATGCAGTCCCATGGTAGCCGGTGACCAACAGCAGGTTCATACGCCATTCGTTCCATCAGGATACTGGAGCCCATGTGCACTATTGGTTTGGAATCAGGGTTTTCCAACTCTCCTAGGTGGACTCGCCTTGTCCACCGACCCAGTTAAAGCGCCTGACATTCGCTTTTCTTCCTCTTACTTTCGTAAGCAACATCCCCGCCATGAGAAGGCAGTGAGTAGGACTTCCCTGGCAGAGGCTATATATTCGCGTGGCCATGTGAGAGCATTTCGAGAGGGAGAGCGGACTCTCCCCACTCTCGGCCGTACCAGGGCATTTGGGGGCTAATGTTATATTTGTCCCAGAGTGAAAATCAACTCTGAGATGCAGGTACATCCAGCTGACGCGTCCAAAATGGAACGAAACGCACGTCAAACTGGATTCCACTGTTAGCCTCTAACCATCTTTGCTTACAATTTCTTTAAAATTGTCTATTATCCATAGTATGTGAATAGGATACACACAAGTCTGTAACTATTTAATCCGCTAATTCACACGTAGACTTGTTTTCGCAATATTTTCTCCCCCTCCCTCTCTCTCTATCTACCGAATAGGTAGTTTAACATTGCAATGTACTATTCTTATTAACTGTAACATTTAAGAAAAAAATGTTGATCTGTATATAAGTTTACTTAACTATCAAGAAGATAGGAATGTACAGTTTCAATGATTTTTGTATATAAATTCCGAGATTTGTCCACTTGCTAGTCAACTATCCGTTTGTGAATCTTCATTGACTGAAATGGTTAAAGTGTATTTATGTACACTTAACCATTGTTCGCCTTGAGGAACGATGCTTGTCAGTGCAGAAATAAGTTGTAAGAAAAAGCTAGGAACTGCTAAACTATTATATGGCATCAGCTCATGAAGTCATTGACCGTTGATCTGAGTCATATTAATAAATGCAGACTACCTAATTAGGGTCTATGTGATAACGACAATCAGTGGTTAAACACTTATGTGACATGGCGCCTATACATTCTTTATCTTTCTCTCGATCTTCAGTTCCATTATCATTTCATACATACCTCTCCACTCCGTTTTTTCGTTCTATATTTCGAATATTCAGTCGTTCTCTTTATCATTGCTACTACATGACTTCGATATCTTTTTTTAATCGTGTTATTTTCTTCATGTTGTGCTAATTTAGTATAACAACTTAGGTCAACTCACACTTGTGCCAGGCCCTTTGTTGATAATGAATGTCATCACCATTATTGTTGAGCAATTCAAATGTAATATGATTGTTGAAAAATGTATATTATCGTATATGATATACATCTTTTTTTTTCTTTCAGTGGGATCTTCACCATCAAACTCATCAGTGCCAGGGAATCAACTTTATAACCATCCAGAGTTTTTACAACGGCAGCTAGCTTTGATGGGATTACTTCCACGTAAGCAAATTTCGTATATGTATATATACTTCTAATGTGTCTATGTGCGTATGCTGTCTTTCGGTTATCAATCAGTCTAATTTACAAGTTTACTTCTAAGGTGTAGGTAACTCATTGAATTTCCATTCGATCAAATCTCCAAATGAAAGATTTTCAATGTTCATTGTTTGATTTATTGTTAATAACTAAATGATTATCAGAAGGGGTTTTGTGTGGATACTATAGTAATTTAAATAGATGAGATCACGAATCACTTGAAGCTAGACCACCATGGAAAACCTGGAAGCACTGGAAGGCCGTTTCGGAAGTTTCATATATAATCCATTAAATACCAACTAAGTAGTCTGAAGGTCATGAGCTTGATGCAAGACCCGAAAATCTTTAGTTCGATCTCAGTTGAGGATATCAATGCATGCTGCTAGGGATTATCATACTTGCCAAAAATAATCTTTTAATATCACTGATTGATTGAAGTTAGCTATGTACACCATTGAACTCTATCTCAATGCTCTATGTGTTAAGGTCTTGCGCACGAGATTGGAGCTCCCGGAATCGATTTCCAGTGGTAGTGGGGTCATGGATTCTTTTTCTGAGAAGTCCTAAACTAAAATGAAACAACTATTCACTCTTCCTAGGTTTTTAATAGTTTCTTAACTTTGATCGGTTGGTAACGTTAATAATGGTAATAAAATAGGTTCAAAAGGCTGTTTTGCAAATATAAGTGTACATTTATATGATCTTTTTTAAAAAATGTTATTATAAGAGATCTAATATATAAAACTTGAGTATATATCCCACTAGAGATAGAATATGTATCCATAAATTGGTAGTTCATCCGTCAGTTTGGAATACGCTACAGTAGCGTATTCATAGATGATAGATGTCCAGATAATTTCAAATGTCAGTCAGTCAGCTAACGTAGGACCAGGCACACATATGCATCGGTCCAACTTGCCATACCTCGTTAGCACAACAAGATGTACACCGGATTCATAGAAGTAATTAATTTAGTGGTGGTAGTATATAAAGAAAGGTCGTATAGAAGGATATAGTATAGGAAGGAAAAAAGTTAAGGGAAGATAAAGAGTGTATACACCTACGCCATTGTGATCGATTCTGAGCCATGTCACCCAGAGTCTCCAACCATTTATTACGATAGTCACGCGGACCCCAACCAGGTAGTCTTCATCTACCAACATGGCTCAGACTAGAAGTAAGTGACTTTAAGCACTGATGTCACGCTTTGGTTTGGCCGCCCCTAACTCTCTTACAACCATCCCCTACACTAGTCAGCATTGCGCGTCGTGGTAATCGGTGTTCAGGCATACGTAACAAGTGGCCCAACCATCTCAGTCGATGAAGATACATGACCGCACCAACTGATTTACCATCATTCCCTAATACTCTGTGTCTAACCTCATTATTACTTACCCGGTTATCCCAGCAGATGCGAGTAATATTTCTAAGGCATCTGTGGTCAAATACTAGTAACCTACGAGTATCTTCTACTATTAATGGCCACGTTTCACAGCCGTAAAGTAGAACAGAGCGAACTGCTGCTCAGTATACTCGTCCCTTAATTGATAGACAGATATCTCGTCATCGCCATAGGTGACATAAGTTGGCAAAAACCAAGTGAGCTTTCTGAATCCGTGCTGAGATTTCGTCAGACACCAACTCATTAGGACTGATTTTGAGGATCCTAAGTAATAGTCTACATCTATCAACATGACTCAATTCAATTCGAAAGGGTTTAATGGAGTGATACCATGTTTTGGTTTGATCATTCCAATTTACCTTCCAACCTACTCATACACCATTTAACATTATTATTCATCGAGGTAGATGATAGTTGAGCATATAGCATCATCAGTAATCAACTCATATAATGTTTATCCTTCATTTGCTAATGATAATTTTGTTTATCATCAGATGTATTCTTGTTATCATTTTCCTCTATTGTAATTTCTTGTCATGCATACAACTCTTTTAATTTGAATAATTAAGGATATTATAAATTTATTTTTATAGTTGAAAGCATAAGTCGATTGAAGCTAGACCATCAAGGAAAACTTGGAAGCACTGAAACTCACTGAAGACAATTGGTGAACGGTTGCTCAACTTCGTTGTTTGATTAAAGTTAGACATTGACATTATCGGATGCCGGCTCAGTGGTCTATCGGTTAATTTCTCTGGCACGAGACTGGTAGGTTTTGGGTTCGAATTTCGCGGGGCGTGGTCGTGGATGCGGACTGCTGAAGAGTCCCACTGTAGGCCATCCAGTGCTTACAGGTTTCCCTTGGTGGTCTAGCTTCAATAGGTTCATGCTTTCAACTATGAGAATACTGAAATCTCCACAAAACCCCTTCTGATAATTAATTATTTATTTATTTATATGTAGCTGGTTCAATAACTCCTGAAAATCTAATGCCTATTACATCCATAGAACAACGTGAAATTGAGACATTACAACGATTAATGACAGAAAGACTTGAATATTTAAGAAATACTACAAATAATAATCAACAGCAACAACAACAACAACGTACTATAACTCCAGTTGAACAAATTTATCAACAACAACAGCAGCAACAACAACAACAAGAACTTTTTGCTGCTGCATTTTCAGCTGAGATGGCTTCAAGACTTGAAAGTATATCATCTAATAATTATTCAAATCAAGATATTCAATTCCCTTTATCATATAATTTATCACATTGTGAAACTACTAATGGTGCAATGACATCTGCTGTGAATAGTATATCAACTCGACCTACAGCTTCTATTCAATTACCACAAAATACACGTTTTTCACAATCCATTCAATGTAATACTCCTTTATTAACTAATCGTTTCCCTATAAATCCATCAGATATTCATAATATTAATAAAACACCACCAATAGCACATCATAATTCTTCATATTCTACATCTCGTGATAATTCTACAAATTTAAATGTGAATATACCACCTATGTCATTAAATATGATGGGACCTACACGTGCTCAACCAAATATACCATTTAGTACACCTAATTCTCATGGAACAAATCGATCAACAGCTCGTAATTCGAATACTCAATCATTGTCATCATCATCTTCTTCTTCTAATTTACAAGAACAAGTATTCAATGCTGCTAAACTGGCTATGATAGCTGGTGAGTTCTTCTTTTTGTCAAGGTTAAATCTCTGTAAAATTTCATGTCTCATTTGACTGCTTTGGGTCCCCAAATGCCCTGGTACGGCCGAGAATGGGGATAGTTCGCTCTCCCTCTCGAAATGCTCTCACATGGCCACGCCTATATAGCCTGTGCCAGAGAAGTCCTACTCACTGCCTTCTCACAGCATTACTGTTGTTTACGAAATTGAGAGGACGAAAAGCGAATGTCCGGTACTTTAACCGTGTTGGTGGCCACGGAACGTCGACCTAAGGTAGTTGGAAAACCCTCATTCCAAACCAATGGTGTACATGGGCTCCGATGACATAATAGATTAGGATTATTCCATTGTTGATATTTTGTATAAATTTTAATCAGTCTTAGTTAGGGTATCTATTTTCAGGATTCGAACCCAGTAACTAAGTAGATAACGCGTTGGTGTTTGAAACGAATAATATTAATTTTGAGCCTCGGAATATGTGTTAACTCTAGGATGCAAGTACATTCAGCTAACGAGTCTTAAATAGAATCAATCAACTCGCATCCTGGACTTCTCTGCTAGCCACATTTCATCTATTTTATATTGAACTTTATTTTATCATATTAGTTAGATACTAACTAACTTTCTAAAAAAAACGAAACTTATTTTGATCATAAATTTATAGCTAATATGCAGTCGGATCCAAATAAAGCATTAACATTTGCAAGTTTAGCTGCTGCAGCTTTCACTGAAATGGCATCATCATCATCATCGCCACAAGATAAAAAGTTATCATCACGTAGTAATGATCATTCATCAACATCTCATCATCAATTATCTGGAATTCAAGAGAATTTATCACAAAGAAATATGAATATTCCAACATCCAATATGAGGTTACGTTCTCCAGTTGGCAATAGTAGTGGACAATACAATTCAGATTGTAATAACAACATTCCTAATCCTGGTGTTGTATTGTCCAATTTTATGCAACAAAATACACATAAAGAAAGACGTCGCCAGAATAGTCATTTATCTTCAAGTAATATTGCATCTCATTCACCTGGTGTAGTATCTCAATCATCAAATCGTTTACAGTCTCCTCCTGTACATTATTCACATTCAGAATCCCGATCATTTAGTAACGATAATAATAATAACAATAATAATCGTACACCAACTCCTGCAGCTAATCGTATACATCAATCTTTGTCTGGTAATAATGATTCTTCATTTGTCGTTGGTTCAACAGTACCCGGAGGTGGTGGTGGGATACCTCCGGCACAGTTAGCACAATTAGCTCATCTTGCTCAAATGTCTGGGCTTCCGCCTGGTTTCTCATTTCAGGTAAACAAATTTTTAGTGTGTTATTAGTTCATTTTTATTTTTCCTATTTTGTGTAGTATTTACATTGATATATGAATGAATCAGTGCTTCAAATGACTACACTTAATCACGTCAGTCAGAGTCATAATTAATTTAGAGGCTGGTACAATTGTGAGTTAGCCGAATTTTTTTGTATCGCTGACAGTACGACTAGATGAAATTAACTAGACAAATATTAAAGGTGTTGATGCAAATGTAGCAGGAATAATAATGAGGAAGATTGAATATTTAGAACATGGTAGAAAAGAAAGGTATATATAAAAGAATATTGAATAAGACGAATAGTGAATGTACCTGAACTATTATGACCGGTTCATGTTTATGTTATTTAAACTCAACAACCACTGACCGCATGGATCTCAACCAGATAATCTTAATCAACTAATATAACTCAGAAAAAGTAGTCAGTGACTTCATGAACTGATGCTATGTCTTAGTTTGGCCAATCCTACATTTCTTCTAACCTATTTCACTAGTAAACAACGCTCATCGAGGTAGGCAGTTGTTATCAATATGTAACACATATCTTCATCACCTCGAATGATCAGAATTCACTACCCTATCAACCGATTTCTTACCTGTGCTTAATACTCTACGACTAACTTCGCAAAATGGATCCGATACTCCGGAGACACATATGATCATAAACCTGTAGTTTACACATGTGTTTTTTTAAATTTCAAAGACCATGTTTCAGAGACAGAGTTATACAGAACGAACTGCCATTTGGTATACTCGTTCAGTGATTGATAAACACGGGCATTTCGCTCACACCATAAGTGATGTTATTTACATTTAAAAGTTTTTAAATAAGCAGATAATTGACCTGCTTTATTGGGATTTAATCCAGTTAGATATATTCGTATCGTAGATGAAAATCTGTCTACTAAACAGCGAAACCTAAAAGTACTAGATTCGATGCTCGACAAAGTCATGTGTGGACGCTGCTGTAGAGTCTAATACTAAATGACCATCCACTGTGCTACACTTGGAACCCAGGCTTATACGTTAAAGAGTTCAACTTTCAAACACAAAGTTACTGGTGTTAGCTTTATTCCACCTGCTTCGGTTTGGGAATGCTAACAGTATCATTAACTCTTACAAATGAAATGTGAATCGAAGCCAAACATTCAAATTTGAGTCATGGAAAAAGCTTTTGAATCTAATGGATTGCCTGGGATTTTACAGGGTTTCAGTCACTTTTACAGATTTATTTATTTATTTAAACACATAAATATTGGTACAAGGAAGCACCAGATACATATGCACCTCACAAATCTCATTCGATTTGTGTGAGGGCTGTGATACTGCCCAGGTGCTCAAACTGACTCAGGTGGTTTTCTTAGGGGGCCACACCCGGAGCCTTTGACCTAAAGGTCTAGTCCACAAGGCAGTGGAGCGTCGTAAGGAGATGCAGTCCCATGGTAGCCGATGACCAACGATTGATTCACACGCCATTTGTTCCTTCAGGATACTGGAGCCAGCCCACGTGCACCATTGGTTTGCAGTCAGGGTTTTCCAACTCCCCTAGGTGGACCCTCCGTGTCCACCAATCCGGTTATAGCGCCTGACATTCGCTTTTCGTCCTCTCTCTTTTGTGAACAACACCCCCGCCACGAGAAGGCAGTGAGTAGAACTTCACTGGCAGAGGCTATATATTCGCGTGACCATATGAGAGCATTTCGAGAGGGAGAGCAGACTCTCACCACTCTCGGCCGTACCAGGGCATTTGGGGGCTATAGATGGAAGATGATTGAAAATCATATGCCCGATCTGTCTTTATCCCAGTTTGTGACTGACAGCAGCTCCATATGTGGTTAGGATATATATATATATATATATATATATATATATATATATATATATATGGTTAGTTTTCAGTAAAGTTATCATTTCCTTTCTTATTTAACGAAGCTGGCAATTTTGTCATCGGAATAAGCATATTTTATGTATTTACAGGATCCAGCAGTGTTGAATGCTTTTGCTTTGGCTGCAGCAGCAACCTCTTTGGTGGCTACTGGTGGTGGTGCTAATCAACCAGATCTGCTTACAGATACAAATATGTCAGCGAATCTAGTCGATCGATATCGGTCACCAGTTCCGTCATACACATCTCCACAACCGCATCAACAACGTTATCCTCCTAATAATTCACAATCGCAACAACAACAGCAACAGAAAGCGGCAGCTGCCGCGGCAGCAGCAGCAGCGGCAATGGCCAATGCTTTTGGTTTACAAAACTTACCAGCTCAATTTAATACACGCCTATCATCATCATCATCATCACAACCACCTTAATTAAGACAACAGTGTTCTTACTAAAAAGAGAAGATTAAAATAAACTAATTGACTGAATTACCACGCTTATTTGATCAGGTAATGAAAATTTCCCATTTAACATTTCTCCTATGTATTACTTGTAAATACAGCTTGATCTTTCCCCCCCCCTTTTCCTCTTCTTCTATCTGTATTCATCATTTTTGTTTCGTTATAAAAATTTCTAATGAATCTATATGTTTGCGTGTGTGTGTGTGCGTATGTAGTGCACGGAATGAAACCAATGTGCCTACACGTATATACTCTTGTATGTCAATGGTTGAATGATAAATCCGACACACACACAGAGATAAAAAGGTAAAGGGAATGAAACAAAATGGCACAATTCATGAATATATCTGCTCATATATATATATATATATATTCACCGTAATCTTAAAAAAAAACGATTGTTTATTTTTCTGGTTTCTATTGTATGCTTTAATAAGAACCAACCACATTATCATTATTATGATTTATACTACTGAAAACTAAACATCATTCTACATTGATCTTTTTTGATATTATACTGAATAATAACCCAACTTACTCATTTATTCATTCATTGTATGTAATCATTCTTGTTCTTTTGTCTTCTGTATGTGTGTGTTTCTTATTCTTGTCATTGAAGATGATTACTTTGTAAGGTATGTTTGCCCTTTTTTTTTATCCCAGACCCTTTTATGCGGATATATACTATATATATTGATATTCTCATATGATGTGAACGATTTACTTAATAATAATGATAATATAAACAATATGTAGTGTTCATTCAGTCTTATTTATGTTAAATTATTGGATAGACCAGGCTAAACTAGGTCGAATGAAAAGTGAGAGATGTTGATGGACGCCGGTTATTGGACAAGATTTAACTTGACTTTCTGAGGGAAATAGATATATATTAATTGATGAGTTTGTGCATACATTTCTATTCAGGTTAGCCTCCAAATGCCCTGGTACGGCCGAGAGTGGAGAGAGTCTGCTCTCCCTCTCCAAATGCTCTCACATGGCCAGCGAATATATAGCCTCTGCCAGGGAAGTCCTACTCACTGCCTTCTCGTGATATTACTGTCGGATACGAAATTGAGAGGACGAAAAGTGAATGCTCGGAGCTTTAACCGGGTTGGTGGACACGGAGGGTCCACCTAGGGGAGTTGGAAAACCCTCATTCTAAACCAATGGTGCACATGGACTGGCTCCAGTATCCTACGGGTCGTATGAATCAATCGTTGATCACTGGCTACCATGGGATTGCATCTCCTTACGATGCTCCACTGCCTTGAGGATCAGATCTTTAGGTCGAGGGCTGGTGGTGTGGCCCCCTAAGAAAAGCACCTGCTTCAGTTTGGGCACCTGGACAGTATCGTAGCGCTCACACAAATGAAATGAGATTTGTGTGGCGCATATGTATCTAGTGCCCATTTGTACCAACATTTATGTTGATGTCTTGTACTAGGATGCATCTTATCCTGCTTATGACAGCCAAATATATGTAGATATCACCCATTGTCATCTATCTTTTGTTAAACGGAAAATAATTATTTCAGCTTATAATTCCTGACTACGAATATTATCAAGTCTGGTTTGACTCCCTTAGAGTGGCCGCTTAAATACTACTTATTTCGATCGAATCTACTGGAATTCGTTACTCCAGTTTCACTTCAATTTAGACTTTTCAACCAGCGCTTTCGGTCAGATCTGCCAGATATCAAGACGGATTGGTTTCTATACATTGAAGCATTTCTGTGTTCCACTTGTATTTTGTACTTTAAGTTCGTTGATATTTACGCCAGACATTTCCAGTTGTTTGATTTTGATTGCTTGGTCCCTTGGATTGAACACAACACTCAATAACTCATTGTATCAATACTTATTTTATCAAATACTTATACTCTATACTTTATTACTCATACGGAAGACCAGTGTGTGAAGCAATGACGAGTGGGTTACCAGTGCTTATATTTTAATGTACTCGAAATGTTCTTAAAAATGACCCTCTGTGGACCAATAAGTAGTAGTGAGTGGTTATCTGGAATCAGCAGTTCAATGAATAACACGTTGGGTGTTTGATTCGACCTCCGCTACGGATGCGGGTGACAAATAGGATTAAACGCGTGTCCTGAATTGCACAGACCATCTATCCTGTAGGTATTTGTGAAAAGTGGTTGTATCAGGGCGATCCGCACAACAAGCACACATACTAACAGAATTCAAAACTCAGTTCTAAATGTCAACAATGGGATATTCGAAACCTTTTCTAATTACGCTATAAGTTGTGAGTTTCTCACTGAGATTTACATTTATCAACCTCAATAGTCTAAAACCGTTCATACGAACAGATTATGTGCCTATCAACAGAGTATGGGCGAAAATTATTTCACGCGATAAGTGAAATTGGATAACCTTGTTGATGTAATCAAACTGATTAGATGCATAAGTTAGTATTTAGTTCATATTAACAAGTTCTATCAAAATCTGTTTGTCATAGTCAGATCAAATAACGGAGATGAACTCCGAAATACTTACAGAGTGAATGATAAATGCTCCTTGTAGCTTAGATTTTCTTTACAGAAAAGGTATCTGGCTAGATTTTTATGTGATAGAATGAGACGCACATGTTTACAACCTAGAAACTAGGTGGATACTCTAAAGTGTTTATCAAAAAAACATGGTAAGACGAAAGGATAGATGAGTTATACCTTCTCTTGAGGAAGGCCAGTTATCTCTTACTCATTAATCGCTAACCTTATCAAAAAATCCTTAAAAGTGCTTTGATAACCACCTGCGAATCCCTCTGATGTTGTTGCACACTTAATGGACGCATACATTTACTTGTTAACACGATCTCCTTAATACTACTAAGAGAACAGAAAGTTGGCTAATTCTCATATGAGACTGTAGAGAATATATTTTATAGAAAAATGCTACAAATATCCTGTTATTGTTAATTACTGTTAAACAATAACCTAAGTTAGACATTAACACCGTTGGATGCCGGCTCAGTGGTTTGTCGGTTAAGTGCTCTGGCGCGAGACTGGTAGGTCCTGGGTTCGAATCTTGCGAGGCGAAGTCGTGGATGCGCACTGCTGAGGAGTCCCATAATAAGACGAAAGGGCCGTTCAGTGTTTCCATGGTGGTCTAGCTTCAATTGACTCATGAATTCAACTATGAAAAATACTGAAATCTCCACAAAACCCCTTCTGATAATGTTGATTTGAACGGCCGTCATTACTGATGAGTCAACCGGTAATCTTACTTTTGATCTCTTCTTATCACTTCTGTATCTGATATTTTCTAAATATCGCATAATTCGGAAGTTGTAGAGGTGTTACTACAGTTTTTACACTATCAGGTTGAAACACCTGAAATGATCCAATAAGTGGCTAACTAGTTCTTTCTTTCAAGCTTAATTTAAACACATATTCGTTTCCCAACTATTTCGAGACTAGGAATATGTTTTAGAAGTTACCGAATCTCTTTATTGATCATCTTAAACGGTAGTTGATAGTTATACTTTATTTGTACTTACTATGAAGTTCATATCAGGAGCCAAAGGAGTCTCTCTCTGTTTGCTAGCAATAAACCATCGTCAGAATATAATTACAGTAGTCAGCCACCTTTACTGGTGCACAGTAGACAACTTTTGCTTGGCTGAGCTTATCTGGCTAGAGACCTGTTGATTCACCACAACTAACCCTTAGGCAAAGTGAATATCACACTCAGACTCTGTATACGATATTTAAATAGCTTATACACGCCAAAGGATTCTTCAGTTTTGGCCACTTAGACCGGTTGTTCAGTTTGACAGAAATAAAACACTGGAAGCCCCAAAATGTGGTGTGGAGTGTAGTTTCAAGAGACCAGGTATAGCACATAAATTTGAATGGTCGGTAGTGCTTGCACATTGATAGTTAAGATCTAAAACCCGATTGACTAAAATATATTGTAATGTGGCTCTTACCAGTCAATCTATCTTAAAATGGATTCCACTTGTTTTCAAGACCCGTTTTATTGCATTTCTCGATCAAGACTTCTGTCCACCAAAAGAAGGGACGATGATTTGTCCACTCCAACCGAACATCTGTTAGACTGTTTATAGTTGTATGAACTGGGCATGATTCGAATTAGAATGCAATATTCCGGTACCCTGTTTAAAAGTGTCAGGCGTATTGGTCGGCGGTCACACAAGATATCGATAATTCAAAGCGTACATCAACAATCAGTAAAACAAAAGATATTATTACTAAACTTCCACGAAATTATAAACAGACATTGAGGTTGTCGAAAAATCATAGCAAAAAGGTACTAACTAACGTCCTGAGTTGCATACAAGAAAATATAAAACCGATGAAAATTATCTATGACAGAAATTTACAGGTTGGTGTTACCACTCACAATATAGTACTAGCGATTATCATCAATCTGTTACCACTCAAAAAAAACTGATTAACTTCAATAAATTGTTTGAAACCCATCATTTTGGTGTATATACTTATTTACATTATTTAAAGTGCTCAACTATTCTAGTAGTAGGTCCTGTTTGAGAAACAAAAGGATGTCTTGTCCATTGGCACTACAGTTCTACCTTACCGTCAAGATAAAACAACTAGATATATTTCGATATATAGAGTTACGTACGAGTAAAGCTATTTTGACTATGAAGTTTACATTAGGAATACTCTCGTGAAATCTTGGTTTATCCTAAAGTAAATTTAGACTTTGTAATGATTCTAAGAATTATGTAAAACCTGAGAAGCCTGTGCATCTCATATTTAACGAGTCCACAATAAAAAACACTCAAATTACTCCCCTCTCTATTTGTCACTTTACAAATGTATTATTCCTACCCAATAATCACGTGTTGCAATCATAATTCATTGACAGAAAAAACATATATTTGTGGAACTTTTACTGTGATATTTTTTATGATGCAACCCATAAAATTAGTGCAGATTTGTACAGTGCCGTTTCTCAATGGTAAATAATGGTGTTAACGTTGTACTTGAACCTTATTAGGAATACTAAACTTTGTGTAACTCTCTGATCACCCTTAATATAAGTAACAATACGACTAACAGACTGCGTCAAAGTAATGACACGGTAAATTGCATATAACTGACATTAAATGATTATGTTTTCACCACGAGATACACTATACAGCCGGAAACACAATCAATTACTGTGAATAACTAATTATCGATGAAACCTTCCAAATAAACGTGAACTTCAAATAACGCACGAATACCAATTTACCAACCATTAGATGAGACTCTGTATTTTATTTTCTCAGGCTTCTGGAATGCTTCTAAGAAGCACGTAGTACTATGGAGAATAAGATTACGTTAAACTGGAATCTACAGATTATACAGAAAGTGAGAGCTGTGTTCTCGTAATGACTACTCCGTATGTCATCCATGTATCAGTACGAAATATATTTCGGTTATACAGTATTCCACGCGCATTTCACGGAGCCATAATTTTGAATACTGCTAAAAACATCTATATTATTATTTATTTTATTTAAACACATAAATATTGGTACAAGGAAGCACCAGATAAATATGCGCCTCACAAATCTCATTCGATTTGCTTGAGGGCTGTGATACTGCCCAGTTGCTCAGACTGAAACAGGTGGTTTTCTTAGGGGGCCACACCCGGAGCCTTTGACCTAAAGGTCTAGTCCACAAGGCAGTGGAGCATCGTAAGGAGATGCAGTCCAATGGTAGCCGGTGACCAACACTTGGTTCATACGCCATTCGTTTCTTCAGGA